TTTACAGATCGATTATTTGAAAAAAAAAAGAATAGTGGCTGATAGTTAGACGATATAGTCAAACCCAAAAACATACCATTGATTATAAATAACATAATGAAAAGAATGTCAACACTATAAAGATAATATACAATGAACATAAAAAATACATATATGTTAATAAAGCTAGTAGATAACAAATACAACAACTCATAAAGAAGTTAACCAATTGTAAATACTTGGAGTGGCATGAAACTAATAAGTCAAGTGATCGTATGAGAGACTTGTTTTGGGCTCATCCTATTGATATAAATTTGTTAAAACCTTCATAAGTGTCATGATTATGAATTACTGTTGGCCTTGAATTGATCCTTATTTTGAAATGACAAAACATTAAAGCTAAATAAACTTGATTAAGATTTTGAAAAAGATTTATTTAGTACATGTTCTTAAGTTTTATATTTTGGTACTAAATAAATAATATGATTTTCAAAGCTTAAACAAACCTTTCTTTGTTTTCATATTTCTCAAACCAAATCTATCTTTAAAGATTATTTATTTGAGCTAAATGAAAGTCCAATTGTTGTTTTTAAAGTGAACTTATTCATTTTGGACTTAATACAATTTTGACAATATTGATTTTGAGAAATAGATTAACTTATGAAAGCTGTTTTACAAGAACACAATTTTCCAATATTGAATTTGTTTTATTTTTCTATATTAATTCACAAAGTTTTAATATTTGAATTTTATATGGTTGGAAAGCTCTTTGAGTCTACTTTCTAATGGATCAAACAAAATTAAAATCCAAATTTTTTAAGAAAAGATTTTGAATTTTTACTAGACACTCTGTAGTTGTAAAAAAAACTGCACAATGGATAACTTTAAAAATTCACTATAATTCTTACACGGTGAATTAGGTGATGTACTTTACATGGATAGAAGATCCTTTAAGTATAGTTTCTAAATCTTCAAACGGTTTGTAATTTGTATTTGTATAACTCAAGTTATGATTAAATTAATGAGTAGAGTACAAAACATGAAACTACCACCCAGCATGGATAGGATCGATCCCCTCTAGAAAAGATTGATTGGTTTTCAACCAGAATGCCCCAAGACTGAATTTCCAAAAAGGGATCGATCCCCCCACATAGGAGATCGATCGGTTAGGCAATTTTCAAGTGAAAAATGGTTCAAAACATGAACCAATCGATCCCTCATGGAAGGGATCGATCGGTTCTTGCCCAAAATGCTCCAACGGCTACTTTTTCATGCTTTCAACGAGCATTTCTTCACTCCAAACTTTCCCAACGGTTAGTTCATCAATTTATCTATAAAGGGGGCACTCCAACACACTAAGAAAATAGAAGAATCAAGAAAGCAAAAGTTAAGAAGCAATATTTTTATTCTCTCAAATAATCAAGAGTTTTTAGAGCTTCAAAGTCTATATCTTTGTATTTATTGTATCCAAACTATTTTTATTGTTCATTCATCATTCTCTTGTCTATACCTTTGTGTACTTCAACTTAGCAAACACCCAACCTTTGTGAGGTTCTTAGAGTTTGCAAAACACTTTATTTTTCTGTTTTATGAGTTTATAAGCTTAAGGAGGAGGATAACCCTTAAGAGTATATTGTGTTGAGTTTGTAAAGCTTAGAGAAGCTTGGTTGTAATCTTCAACACTTATAGTGGATTGAACTTCTTGGCACGAAAGGCTAAGGGAGAGGACGTAGGTGCCTAAGAAAGGACTGAACCTTTTATAAATCGCGATGTTATTATCTCTATCTCTATCTCTATCTCTATCTTTTATTTACTTTCAATTATTATGTTTAATTGTTTAGCAAAATTTGTGCTTATTGAATATTGTTTTTGAAAACTTCATTAAAACTAATTCACCCCCCTCTTAGTTTATTCTAAATCTTTGAGCTAACAATTACATATATAAAACAAATAGATACTATCTCCCATTGCTTGAAATTGTTGGTGTGACTTCCATTCAGATGACATTGCTTGAAATTATCCTGATTATGGACAATATAACGTTGTGCTAGTCCACATCAGTTTGAGACAATACCTAATATATTTCTCTATTAGATCTGTACCATTTTTGTCATTGGAGCACAGAGTCATTGCGATTAGATTTGTTAATAATTATCATTTTATGCAAGTAATGGTAATTAGAGTTGATACCTATCGTTTATATTATTGATAATCACATTACTTATCATTTTTATTTTGTGCAGATGTTAATGAAACCAATCTCACTAATACATCCAATTGCATGTAACTATCATAAGATTCATATAATTGTGCTCGATGGTGAAAGATTCCATATTACCTCGTATTGAGGATTTCAAGTTATTGTTTAGTACAAATTCTGATGATGTCATTTAAAAAACAATAAATATTGATTGATTATTTAGAATACTTGTTTAGTAAATTAATCTATATGTTAACAGTTTATATTAATATTGTATATATATTGAACATATTAGCTAATGGGATATGTTATATTGATCAGTTAATCTAATGAATGTGCTATATTGAACAGGTTATCTAATAGATGTGTTATATTAAACATATTATCTAATGATGTTTTATAAATACAACATAATCTAATAAATGTTTTATAAACATACTTTATTAAGTAAAAATAATAAAGTTACAAAATCACTATCCTACTCCATAGTGTTAATACCTTGCTCTCTCTCCCTCGACCTTTTAAATCAAATATATATATACACACTATGGATGAACAGGTTGTGCTGCTGTCAATGTAGTAGGTGTGGAGCTCTCAAGTAGGGCTAATATTATCATCAATGTAATGGGAAAAAGCTTGCAAGCAAGGTCAATGTTGTCGTTGCTACTACGGGAGGGACAAAGCAAGCACAGGCAACCTAGGTAGTGCATATGTTGATAATGGAATTAGGGATGGAGTAGGCACGGGCAGCTTCGTCAATGCATGTCTCAATGCTGATGATCTAGACTGAATGAGCAAAGGTGGTTTGAACGCTTGAAAAATGGTGCAGGAGTTGATGTTTGATGTAGTACTACCAATCTAGATTGACTACTATTAGTTGTTGCAATTAATAACCTAAACAATATAGTATGTGCTATGATAACTATGTCTCTTAATACATCAACATTCTTCTGTAATCCACTAAATAAAATATTCTCAAAAACATACAAAACAATCGAGCTCTATTTGTATAAATATGCCAGGTAAGCTGTCTCTTAAACATATTTACCAATGGCATTGAAGTTGCTCAGTAAGGTTAAGTACGCTATCGATACTTTTGTCATGCTCTTATAAAGAAACAATGTACACCCTAGCAAATAGAGTAAAAAAATCCTAAATGCATACTCTATTACCTGATCATCTGATGTATCTATTACATTTTTAAGAGTATTCCATAGCCACTGCAGCCTTAGAATAGGTCAGCAAACCCAATTAGTCTTTGTTGCTCTTCAAATGCAGAAACTCTAACGAACCTGATCAATAGTGTGTTTGCCTCGTCGATCGTCAAATAATTAACTAAAATCATGGCCATGATGATTGAAATGTGTAGAATTGCGAACACATCATCTCACATGATAGCATTTCTTTAAATGGTAAAGGAAATGTGTTGGTTTTAAGTTATCATCTTTCAACAAAAACTAATACTATCGTATTATTCATCAAACGATAGGTACAATCAATACATAAATCCAACCTTAACTCGATTACGTTGGCTCATATATGTTTACGTGCATCGTCTAATTGCCATTATTGTAATTTAAGTCAATAATTAATCGATTTCAATGAATTTTGCTCATGTAACAATAACAATAATAAGATCAGCAACAACATAAACAATATTAACAACAACAATCAACTAATTCACTTTAAAAACACAAACTAATACTATCATAGTATATGATTTAAGTGATTAACTAGCCATTCCATATTTACAATGCAACATGAGATTCAAAACTCTAAATGATAGACATATCAATCGGACGTTCTAGGAAAAGGTTAAGAAACTTGCTTTGCATTGTCATTTCCACCTTTATCATAATGCTCGTGGGTGATAGGTTCTTCGTAAAAAGTTGAACTTATGGAATATCATCCCCTGCATGGTCTTTCACCAACTCGTTATCATCTTCTTGGATTTAATGTCTCTTCTTAAAGGCAATAAGACGCACCTGACTTAGACTAGGATCTGCTGTTATACGTCTAACACCTCTATTAATGCCCTTACCTCTTGTTTGAACACATCAAACTCTCGTTCAAGCCATATCTATTGTGACATAGTACAAAATGCAACATTTCAATAAACCCATATAACTTAAACAAAATTCATTTCAACTTTGTACTTATGAAAATAGATTTTCACAAGCTTTGAAAAGCTTACGGATATTCAAATTCTTCAATTTTTGTAAGCTTTAAAAGACTTACAGATTTAAATATCCGTAAGCATTTCAAAGCTCATGAAAATGAATATCTAAAAGCTATGAAAGGCTTACAATTATTCACATCCACAAGTCTTATAAAACTTAAGAAAATGGATTTTCGTAACTTTTTAAAGGTTTCATAATACTCAATTTTACCAAAAAAATCTCGTAAACTTAAATTATAAACTTTAAAAAATTTATCAAATAAATCAACAACAACAACTAAATCTTACATTAAATAGATCAAATAATAAAAAAACTTGTAATTTAAAGGTTTGTTTGATGGTTTTAAGTTGAGTTTAAAAGAAAAAATTAAGAGAATGAAAAAAAGGATAAGTGTTAAACATATGAATGAAAATATAAAATGTTAAGATAAAATGTTATAACTAAAAATATTAATTTATATTTTAAATTTTAGGTATATATAATTATGAGATTGAAGAATACTTTTATCAATATATTTTATAAGTGTATTTAAAATTTTTTGAAAACTTTTTGTTTTATTTTTAATACAATAAAATTATTAAAATATCCTCTAACTTACTCTTGGATAAAGGGTAGGATACCTATCACAATTCAGGTGCCAACTTAATTCCTTAAAACCCTAACTCTGAGCAGACCCTTGTAGAAGTTAATTCAGGCTTTCAGCAGCTTCCTTTATCCTTTTATTTTTTTTTTCTTTGGCTACTGTTAGTCTTTTCTTCATTGTGACTGCATTCTTTCGTTTCTTTGATAGAAATGGTTGGGAAATATTGGTAGGGTAAATGTGTTTGATTTGATTTTTTTTTTCTTCTTTTTGGTCAGATAGAAAATTCGTTTTTTAGGGGCTTCCGAACGAGCCTGTTTATGAGCTCGATAACGAGCCGATTCCTCCTTCTCCCAAATCTTGAAATAAGGATATAAAAAATCATGTCTTTAGATGTGTCTGGAAAAGAGACCCAACAACCAACGCCACCAAGTGCTGGTCATAACGGAAACGGCGTGGCGGTGTTGCCGAGCATGGCGACTACGCACCGGTTACGGCTGAACCCTAACACGGAGCACAAGCCGGAGACTTACGAGGGTTTGCAGTTGGAGTTCAGTCCGCTTCTGTTCAGCTCCCTGGAACGTTACTTGCCTCCTCCGATGCTCTCACACTCTCGCGACTCCAAGCTCCATTACATGCGCGATATTATCCTTCGTTACTCTCCTGAAGGCGAACGTACTCGCGTAATCTTCTTTTCTTTTTTAATTGCCTTAATTTTTGCATTTTATTAGTTTATGTTTGAATTTCTTGTTCGAATGTTTCTTTGCTTAAGAATGTTGTTATGAAATGATAATGTAATTTCTTGATATTATTTACGTTAATCAGATGAATTTTTATAATAAAATATAGGGAATATATTTTTTCTTTTAAAAGTTTTCTCTGGAAACTGAATATGATTGGTCTGTGACAAATTTTAAGTTAAAGGAATGCTAAGAAGTATTATTGTTTTTAACTCTATTTTTGATTGATTGATTGAGAAATAGTGGAGAACATATACTTTGAACAACGGAAAAAAAAAAGGGAATTTTAATGTCTTAATGCGGATTTATCACCTGCTGAGTGTTGTTAATGTTTGAATTGGGATGAATTGATGTATTAATTGATCTGTAAAGGGCTTTTATGTTTCCTAATTGTCATTGGACCAATTTTAAGTTTCAATCTATATCTTTATGCTTATATCATTTCTGAACATTGAGACTTTTTTCTGAACCACTAATTTATGCTAGCTATCTGGTCTGTGGATAACTATCTCTCTTAATTTTCCTTTTCTATTTAGATGTACCTTTTTTTTCACTATTTTAAAACTGTTTTGAACATTTGATCCAAAAAAAAAAACCTTTTTGAACAGGTTCAAAGGCATCGAGAATACAGGCAAAAGATTATATCACACTATCAGGTACCAAGTGTAATTACTATTTTACTAGGATTACTTTACTCAAGCTGGTCTGGAATAATTAATTTATGTCTGGCACAGTGTAATTTGGTATATTATCTTCATAAGGTTTATATATAAACAACTTTTTGCTTAAGTGATCTCTACATTTTGCAGCCTCTGCATAGGGAATTGTATGCCATGCATGCCTCAAACTTCTTTGTCCCCTCATTTCTCAAAGCAATTAATGAGAATAAAGAGGAAAGTTTTAGAAGTATAATGGCTGAACCTGCTCTAGGGGTTTTTACATTTGAAATGCTTCAGCCCTGTTTCTGTGAATTGTTGTTATCTGAGGTATTATCATTGCCTTCTTCTCTTTGGTATTTTTTACTTTAACTTTCTTTTTTTTAGTTTTTATATTTTTCTTATCAGGTTCTGATTGCTTAGGTAGAAAACTTCGAAAAATGGGTCCATGAGACAAAATTCAGAATCATGCGACCAAACACAATGAACAAATTTGGTGCTGTTTTAGATGACTTTGGTCTGGAGACCATGCTTGACAAGTTGATGGAGGACTTTATCCGACCTATATCCAAAAGTATTTAATTTTCCATCTGCCTTGAGATTGTAAATGGATGTTACTATATATATATATATATTTAGAGTTAAAGCCTAGACCTTTTTTTTTTTTAATATCATGGGAAATGTTCTGCAGTTTTCTTTTCTGACGTGGGTGGATCTACACTGGATTCTCATCATGGTTTTGTTGTTGAATATGGAATTGACAGGGATGTTGAGCTTGGTAGGTTCTAACTTCTTTCTTTTTTCATTTTAATTAAATCCATTATATTAGTTCTCTGAATGATGAAAGTTTATAGTTTGTGATATAAGCTGTGATATTTATCATCCACTACACTTAGGAGATTAAAGTGTTAGCTACGATAGATGAAAACTGATGATTCTTTGGATTTTAGAATTTAAGTGTTCAGAAGGTATTGCACAATTTAATTTTCTGAAATTCCTGACTTTGCTTTGTGCATTGCTTGGTACTTCTTTCCTTATTAAATGATGGCATCATCTATTTTCTTAAATTTCATGCTCATTAACTCTTTTCTCATGATTACTACAATTTTGGCATGTTGGCTATCTTTTCTTGCAAATATTTTTAGTTTGGTGCACGTTAAAATTATAATCATTGATGCTTGTTCCATTAATCTGCTTGTTTATAAAACCTTTGTATTATCTTTTCTTCTATTGGTAGTACTCTTAGAGTTGTGTAGCTTAAAATCTTCTTGTTAAAGTTGTAGCTTCACAAACTTCTGTAGCTTTGTGTTTGTAGGTTTCCACGTGGATGATTCAGAAGTCACCTTAAATGTTTGCTTGGGTAAACAATTTTCTGGTGGAGACTTGTTCTTTCGAGGTGTTCGTTGTGATAAACATGTCAACACGGAAACCCAGTCCGATGTATGCTAATCCTTCTGATTAATTCTTCCTTTATGCTGTTCATTTTAAGTCACAGGAACTGAAGCTTTCCTTTGGCTTAACCATTTAGTTGTAATTGCATGCGCTAGAAAGCATTAGGATGAAGTTTAGTGTCAGTTTGATAAAAAGTTCCTTGTAGTAGCAAGTTAACAAGGAGAACCACCCCATCTCTGATGCAGCACCATCTCTCTCCCCTCCCCTATATATTTTTACTTCTCTATTAAAGTGAAATATCAAGATAACCTATTATGCTTCTTTGAATCCAATATCAGACTACTTTCTTTTGTAAGTGAGAACATGAGATTACAAATAATTTAAACAAAATGGCTGCAGGTGTCCCTTTCATTTTGTAATTTTCCTAGACAACATGGGGTAGGCATATGGTATTTAAATTGGTTAGCAGATATTGGTTCATTGAAGAAAAGATGTAGGCCATGGTACCTTTTCTGGTGTTAATTTGTTAGTCATTGTAACAAAATGCCCATTTAATGTGTTCTCTTTATTGTGCTTTATAGGAAATTTTGGATTATTTCCATGTTCCTGGACATGCAGTTCTTCATCGTGGGCGCCATAGGCATGGTGCAAGAGCCACAACATCTGGTCATCGGGTCAACTTACTTTTGTGGTGCAGAAGGTATCTTTTTCTTACACTTCTTAGTATAAATACACCAAACATATAATACACTAGGTCAGGTTGTAATGTAGCAGGTTGGAAAGAGATTACCACTTGATTAAACTTACTCATTGGTTTGCATTTGAATATCTTAATATAATATTTAATACTGAAATATGATGAACAGTATAGAAGAATTCTTAGAGGAAGCCAAAGAATTTAGAATATTGATGTATTTATTGGACTAGATTTAAAATTTAGACTTGTTTATGGAGTTGAAATGTAATAAAATATCAATGGATGACTGACTTTAATCCTTGGAGCTTTGTACCACCTGAATTCTCTATCTTGTTTTTGTTGGAAAGAACATTATAATGGAGTTGTCTAGGACTTATTTTCCATATTTCCTGACAAAAGTATGAATAAAGGTTTTGTTCAGAAATAGTTGTGGCTGTGTCGTCCTTGTGTTGTTCGAAACCTGTCAAGGAAGTCAAATAAGATGAATTAATCTAGTATTTAATGGTGTTATTTTCATGGTTTCTTTGATGTTACTATCAATTTTGAACAATTTCATGGTTCAATGTGTAAGACATCGGATGCTGTCTGGTGTCTTAATTGTGTAACTGTTGCAGTTCATGTTGGTGCACATTCCTTAAATTGAATGATGAGGTTGAGAACTGGTGCAAAAAAAAGTTATTTTATTTTGGCCAACTGTTTAAAGTGCATGCAAAATTTTATTATAGTTCGGTGTTCCGTGAGCTGAGGAAATATCAGAAAGATTTCTCAAGCTGGTGTGGAGAGTGCCAACGTGAGAAAAAAGAAAGGCAGCGTGTCTCAATTGCCGCTACCAAACAGGTAGGTATTATAAAGTCAGTATCAATTGCTTTTGTAAAAAATAATAAAAAAATATTAATTCTGACATATACTTTAATCAGGAATTACTGAAGAGGGAAGGGAAACCTGCGTCTTGAACTCAGTATTAGCTTTTGTGGATTATTGCAAAATTTGTTTTTCTTATTTTGTTGTTAGTGGTGCACTTATGAAGGTGTTGTGTATCTTCATTGTTTTGTACTTCAATGCTGTAAATTCGCATCATCTTGTTTGACCGAGTGTGAAGGCCAACTAGAACCATAACTAAACTCCTCTTTTGTAGTAACAGTTGAATGTGTTTTTTCCATTTTAGAATGGCAGTTGTTTGCTTCTGTTTCAGACTTCAAAATATTTTTCACGATTATTCTTTTTAAATTTTGGAATAAAAATTTGTCAATTTTGTAAAACATTTTAAAACCCCTAGTATAAAAATACATTAAAACCAACGTTTACAAATCAAGCATGGCAAGGCAAAATAATCATATTAAAAGAAAACCAATTATCTGATGTTACAACGTGGGTAGATAAATTTTTGGAACAAAAATTTATGTAATAAGCCCAAAACAGAAAAAGGTTATCGAAGGCCGAAGATATAGAGACTGGAGAGGAACCGAATCCAAAAGCAAGCAATTTGCAATCCAAATCATCTAAACGACTCACTCAAAATTTGCATTAAGATTTAAGAAATAATACGATAAAAAGATTTATCCACTTTATTATTTATATAAATTTATCACATGTTTTTTATTTAAATAAAAATACTAACAACAGTCCATTTAAATAAATGCAATTCAGTTTTTTTTTTTTTTAAGAAAAAATTTATGTCGTAGATAAATTATTTATTTTTTTAAATCAAAATAAAATGTGTTGTATCTGATAATTTAAAATAAATAATTATAAATTATATATTCGATATGATTTCAATAAATAATCACACGTGATACTTGAATATAAAAATTTTTCGTAAAAAAATAAATTTAACCCATTAAGTCAATTATTTGTTGGTATTCAAATTAGTTTATTACACAAAAAAAGAATTGTTATTACAACTCACAAACGCTTTAAATAGAAGCATTTTTCCAACAAAAGTCTGTGTTGACTTTCTATTTTCATCGTCATCTATCGAAAGCAAATTTTACTGGCCATCCTTCACTCCCAACCTTCCGTTTCCCATCAAAAGGCAAAGCAACCCAATTTCCCTCTCCCATCACATTCCCGAGGACAAAGAAAAAAAATGAGAGAAATCTTGCACATCCAAGGAGGTCAGTGTGGGAACCAGATCGGCGCTAAGTTCTGGGAAGTCATATGCGACGAGCATGGTATTGACAACACTGGAAGGTATAGCGGTGACTCCGATCTACAGATCGAGCGTATCAATGTCTACTACAATGAAGCCAGTGGTGGAAGGTATGTCCCACGTGCTGTTCTCATGGATCTCGAACCTGGTACTATGGACTCCGTCAGATCTGGTCTTTTTGGACAGATCTTCCGCCCCGATAACTTCGTCTTCGGCCAGTCTGGTGCTGGGAACAACTGGGCCAAGGGTCATTACACCGAAGGAGCTGAGCTTATTGATTCTGTTCTTGACGTTGTCAGAAAAGAGGCTGAGAATTGTGATTGTTTGCAGGGTACAAACTTTTTTTTCATACATTTTCGGCATATGGGTTTAGTTCATTTTGTTGAGATCTGAGTTTTTTTAATCAATTTTCATGTTTTATTAGTTTTTATGTTAAATTTATCTTTTATTTTTCCTCAATTTTTGCTTTCGTAAAATATGGTTTGTTCTTTAATCATGGGTTCAGTGAGGCATTTTGGGTCTTTTCCCAGCACGTTTCTTTTATTTTCATTTTTTTCACTTTTGGGGCTTTTAAGGATATTTTTGTTTTTTAGTTCAGATTCATTGTCTGTTTCAGTCCGGGCTATGTCTTCTTGTCTGTTATGCCTATTGAAAATTTCTATTTTGAAGTAAAATTGTTATATATATAAAGGAATTTGTTAAGCCATTGAGGCTAAGTGTTTATTTCTTTCATTGTTTAGGAGCAAATGATATTTGTTTTCACCTCTTGCTTTGAAATGATTGTGGTTGCATTATGGTCTGATTTTGCATTTAGCTTTTTTGTAATTAGTATTTTATTTATTTATTTATTTATTTATTCCCTCAAAGTTGGAAAACAAGCCTTTCCTTTTTCTTTTCTTACAATTCCCATCAAAGCTGTACTGGTTGGTTTGTTTGTATAGAGACCATATGTTGTAAGCTTGTCCTCAATTTGATTTAAAGAGATTATTTGAGCCATTTGTTTATGTTTTCTGTAATCATGTGTGAAAGTGATTAGAGTATCTTGATTTATTGTGGCTTGGTTCCTTCCTACACTCTTAACTTCTAATTTTGAACTTGTTCTTTTTTTTTTAATTTGGTCAATAACCTTTGTACTTGTTCTTGCTTTCGTATTTGATATCATATTTAGTGCTTTTTTGCTACCAATAGATGGTCAAATCCCTGCATGGATAACCCTTTCTAATTGCTCATATTGGCCAGTGTCTTATCTATTCATTCATTTTCTTTTGTGATCCTGTTAAATTTTTCTTTGGTTTTCTCAACTTGCATTTGCCTTGCAAACCCACAAGATAAAAAGCCTGTCTATCTTCAAATCTCACTTTACGTGCCTTTGGGACAGGATTCCAAGTTTGTCATTCTTTGGGTGGAGGTACTGGATCTGGAATGGGAACCCTTCTTATTTCCAAGATTAGGGAAGAGTATCCAGATCGCATGATGTTGACATTTTCGGTCTTCCCATCTCCTAAGGTGTCTGATACAGTTGTTGAGCCATACAATGCTACCCTTTCCGTTCATCAGCTTGTCGAGAATGCTGATGAATGTATGGTGTTGGACAATGAGGCTCTGTATGACATCTGCTTCCGCACTCTCAAGCTTGCCACTCCAACTTGTAAGTTCTGATCTATCATTCTAGATGCCTACTGTATGCAACATAGGGTTTTAGCTTTGCGTAACAAGCTGCAAGTTTTTCCTTCAACAATTTAAAAATAAAACATGTAATGGCATTAATTTGATAATGCTGCTTTACCTTCCTGTTCTGGGTCTTTATGAACAAGAATTGACAAAGTTATTATTTATTGGTTGCTAGCTTGCTCAATTATTAAGGAATTGCTGGCATATTAGCTCCTAACTGTGTTACTAAGTCTTAGTCGGGTTGGTCATAAGTTTCTTTCTTACCCAAAGATTCACCCACCTTTTGTCCCCACAAACATAAAAGAATGTGACGTGACAGGAATTAATGTCTTAATATTTGTTTCAATGAATTGGGATAATAACTAGTATTTTCTTGTGTTTCTTCTTGAAAAATATTAAGTGGCTTCTTGTAATGGAATTAATTTCCAGAGTATACATGCTGTAATCTCTGCTTATGTTCTTCTTCTTTTTAACTTGACTCAGTTGGTGATCTTAACCACCTCATATCTGCTACAATGAGTGGTGTGACATGCTGTCTGCGGTTCCCTGGACAGCTGAACTCTGATCTCCGCAAGCTGGCAGTTAACCTTATCCCTTTCCCACGACTACACTTCTTCATGGTTGGATTTGCACCCTTGACATCCAGAGGATCACAACAGTACCGGGCCCTGACTGTGCCTGAACTGACCCAGCAGATGTGGGATGCCAAAAACATGATGTGTGCTGCTGACCCACGCCATGGCCGTTACCTAACTGCTTCTGCAATGTTTCGTGGTAAGATGAGCACGAAGGAGGTTGATGAACAAATGATTAATGTCCAGAATAAGAATTCATCATACTTTGTCGAGTGGATCCCTAACAATGTCAAGTCTAGCGTGTGTGACATCCCACCTAAGGGTCTGAAAATGGCAGCCACTTTCGTTGGAAATTCAACCTCAATACAGGAGATGTTTAGGAGGGTTAGTGAGCAGTTTACGGCGATGTTCAGGAGGAAGGCTTTCTTGCACTGGTACACTGGTGAGGGAATGGATGAGATGGAGTTTACTGAAGCTGAGAGTAACATGAATGATTTAGTTGCCGAGTACCAGCAATACCAGGATGCAACCGCGGAGGATGAGTATGAGGAGGAGGAAGAAATAGAAGAGGAAGTCGTCGCTTGAGGGAGGAGTCTTTTTATTGTTTCTTCAGATGGGTCTGAAATTTGCATTTTCCTAGGGTTTGGCTATCGTTGAGGTCAATTTTAGATTAACATCATGTGTATGGTTGTGGGTCCTTGGATCTAGGATGTGATTTTTCTTTTTAAAGCCTGATGAATGATGTGTGTTTGTATTTCGTAGAATACTTAGCATTCTATTATATTTGGATGTAATATTATCCGTCTGATGAGTATTTCTTTTATAGAATTAATGCCAAGCAGCCTCTTGTGGCCATAAATGTATATATATATATACACACGCTAAAATAAACACTTTCCGATATTAAATTTAAAATCTTTTTTATCAAATAAATTTAAAAAAAATAAAACACGCACAAATTCAACTCGAAACCAGAAACTGAAGCATAATTTCAACATCCTCATTTTCCAACATTGCCACGTGTATTCATTCTTGTAAATTGATACTAAACTCAAAGCCTAAAAACTTGTTATTGACAACACAAAATCAAGTAAAACAAGCTAAGTGTCACGGTACGCGCGTTATTCGTTCTGTAATTACGCGTATGTGCGGCACCAAGATTACACTTAGTCAAAGTCAGTCTTCACCTAATCCATAATTTTTTGGACAGATCAATTTTTGATTTTTTAAGTCGCATACCATCAAGTTTTTTTTGGCTTCGACCTCGTAAGGTCATTCATTTCAAACTCTATAAAGAGGAGTTCAACTCTCATTACGCATCAACTCACGATTCTCAAAGTAGTTCCGAGCATTCAATTTTGCCCGCAGGGCTTTAGATCTCGAGCATCGATTCTCGGGTGCCTGTAGGGACACCCAATTTCGGTTCTCATGATATTATTACTTTTTGACATTGTGAGAACCCAACATCATATTCGCCCGTATCGTACGTAAGCTCCTTGTATCAAGTTTACGCAAGCACCACATTTAAGCTGGTTAGCAGCTAGCTCGGAGCCTTTAGGCTCATCTCGTCCCACGGGACTCGATTCTTAGTGCTTAGGCCCTTAGCATCAGTATCGGCCGCCTGCATGCATAATTGACACCCAACATCATGCTAGTCCTACAAGAAGGACTCGGGTGGACTGTCCCAGCTACAGCCCACCTCTATCGATTAGCGGCAAGGGTCTAGCAACGTACCTGCCTGCCAGCCCGCGCATCCCTCAGGCTCGATAGTATCCCTCCTACGTAAACACCCTCACATGATCCTTCCGGCTCAAGGAAGGGAAACCGAGGGGCATAATAATCTCTATCGTGTAACCCCATGGCTCAACGCAAAGGCGCGATACGAGGCCCGCTAGCCCCAACCGCCATTGGGTTTATTGTGACCCGAGAAAACACCTTGTCACGGGTTGAGACTTAAGCTTCGAATCCGCCCGGCTCCGGGACCCGGGCATCCACTCATCCGACGTCTCAGATCAACCTAACTGCCACGGTTCATACTCTTGTGAGGTATTATCCGCTCTGACCCCTCTGGCATCACGATTTTATCTTACAAAAAGCGCCTCACACTTACCTGCGTATCTTGAGGTTTATGGCTCAAACCATCCACACACAATATCCCCAACATATTCTCATGCTCAGAACGCCCGCACACTGCTTCCACTGATAGCACCCGTCAGACTACTTGGCTTGAGGGTGCTTGACCACTATCCCGAACTTCCCCGCGTATCTTACAATCCAGGGCTCCCACTGCCCGCACAACATGTTAGTAACATGTTTCAAAGCTCCAAATGCACGCCCGCGTATTTTAAAACCACTTTCCCGCCAGCTTGGTCTCGACAGTTGCTCGGTTCAGGATCAGCCATGGCAGGACCAAGGCCTGGCCATGACATTCTCCTCCACTTACTATGTCGATGCCCTCATCGATGCCAAGACCACACCCAACTCTCTTGTTGCACACAGCTGACATTTGCTCATATGTCTCTCACTTGTGCCTTCAAGGATTGGATCGAGGCCCCGTCACATGGGGCACCGCCTACAGTACTCGTCCATTGTTGATGTAGATTGGTCACGTTACCGCACTCATGTCGCTCTGCTCTGTTCCAGCTCGAACCGTCTAACCTTATCTTGGTTGTTTCATATGGGCCATACCATTGTTTCATCTCTTGATCATGCATGTTACGACCTCGAGGCACCCTCATTGATCAATGACCTTTAGTACAATGAATGACCACCCACTTTGCCACTCATCGATGCATCCCACTGGACGTGACCCCTCACACCGACTGCACTCTTGCAGCATCAACTCTTGATGCGCCCCTTTGGACGTGGTGCTTAGGTCAATCACACTCATACAACACCCCACATGATAGACCTTAGCACAGTGGTATTCAGACACTTTGGTCATCTCTCAACTTGGGTCCTCTCGACCCTTCCAAGGTCACCTCTCTAGGTGTGGCCCTCTAGCCAACCGCCCTCGAGACGGCACCTTAACGCATTCTGATTCGGTCTTTGCTCCTAGCTCGAACACTAAGCTCCATCAGCTCGAACTCCTCTGTCTTGACTTCGTCCCACAGGGAAATCGCGTCTCCCTCACTTTTACTCGAAACTTGGTTTAGCATTATAAGCAACCATGTCTCCTCGATGGATCTACTGCTCATCTGCCTTGACTCTAGCATGGCTCCTATGACATCTCAAAATCCGCTCATACTTGAAGATCCACTGATCCAACTAAACGCCTAGGCCATTAATTTGCTCGACTCGAGGATTCACCAACCCACTCAATTCTCAATGTCCATCGACCCACACCATCTGAAGGCCTTGTCAACTGGCCATTTCCCAATTGTCTATTTTACTAGATTACCCTCTGTCGTGGTTCACTGATCACTACTATATATGAAGCCTTCCCTCCCGACCAACACAGACTCGACTCACTGATTCACACACTATCGTGATCCTCTGACCACGAGAACTCATGGTCCACTGACCAACGCAGCTCATGGTCCACCGACCATTCCATTTGTGGCTTCAATCTTTATCCACTCCATACTCTTTTATGTAAGGACTCCATGCTTGGATTCAAATACTTCGGCTTGCACACCCGCTGGGGCACCTGCACCATGCAGCAAGTGCACACATTAGTAATTAATCTTGAAACTCAATACCTCTTGCCCCTCAGGACAAGATTCACTCGGCCTACATGGCCTTACGCAACACCATTTCATGGTGTAAGCCCCTTTTCGCATCTTGGTCTCATTACGATTCCTTCCACCGTGAAGGCATCACATGCCCCAACATATGCCAACACCTTTTTCTAGGTGAAGGTAGACTTCTATGCCCTTTTGCTTAGCATCCAAGAGCCTACTTGAGAGTCTTTTTACATAGGCCCAATTTTTCCCACAGCACGCATCGTTGGCTCCCTTTCGAGCCTCCACAGCCACAGAACCGCATTTGCGTCTTAATAGCTCCTCTTGAGCTTGGCACTACCTTGATTTCACGTCACTCGACCCGCACAAAGGGGTCATGTAAATCTCACCACTAAGCCAAACCAAGGTCTGATACCATTTGTCACGAGTCGAGACTTAAGCTCCGAACCCACGCGACTCCGGGACCCGAGCATCCACTCATCCGACGTCTCAGATCAGCCCAACTCCCACAGTTCATACCCTTGTGAGGTATTATTCGCTCTGACCCCTCTAGCCTCATGGTTTTATCCTACAAAAGGCATTTCACACTTACCTACGTATCTTGAGGTTTGTGGCTTAGACCATCCACGCACAATATCCCTAATATATTTCCATGCTCAGAACGCCGCACATTGCTTCCACTGATAGCACCCGCTAGACTACTTGGCTTAAGAGTGCTTGACCACTGTCCCGAACTTTCCCACGTATCTTGCGGTCCAGGGCTCCCACTGCTCGCATAACATGTTAGTAACATGTTTCAAAGCTCCAAATGCACACCCTCGTCTTTTAGAACCACTTTTTCATCCGCTTGGTCTCGACCACTGCTCGGTTCAGAATCAGTCATGGCAAGACCAATGAGCGACTAAGAGAAAGGTTATGAGGCCATGAGTTAGTCGAAGAAAGGCCCTGAGATGGCTGGAGAGAAAAGTGTCCTCATTTCGGACAATCTTACGGTCACTAGTAGGAGACTGAGAAAATCTCTTACGCTCTTTATAAGGGGATGACTAGTGTCAGCTCTCCACCACCCCTTTGGCTAGTGGACAGACGGAGGCCTGGCTAGTCTAAAGTGAGCTACTCCTACTCACTGGTGGTGGCTAGGTGGGCGGGCATCGTAGAGTCACGAGTGTGGCACAATGTTTCCTCGGGTCACGGTAAACCCGAGGTCGATTGGGGCCAACGGGCCTCATATCGCGCCTTTGCATTGAGCCATGGGGTTACATGGTAGAGATCGTTATGCCCTTCGATTTTTCCTCCTTGAGCCGAAAGGATCATGTGATGGTGTTTGCCTATGAGGGATACCATCGAGCCTGAATGATGTGTGGGCTGGTAGGCAGGCACGCTGTTAAACCCCTACGGCTAATCGGTAGAGATAGGCTGCAGCTGAGACAGTCCACCCGAGTCTCCCTTGCGGGACTAGCATGATGTTGGGTGTCAATTATGCGTGCGGGTGACCGATACTGATGCTAAGGGCCTAAGCCTTAAAAACTGAGTCTCGTGGGACAAGATAAGCCTAGAGGCTCCGAGCTGGCTACTGATCAGCTTACATGTGGCGCTTGCATAAACTTGATATGGGAGCTTGCGTACGATATGAGCGGACATGGTGTTGGGTTCTCACCATGTCAAGAAGTAATAATACCATGAGAATCGGGACTGGGTGTCCCTATGAGCACCCGAGGATCGATGCTCTAGATCCAAAGCCCTGCGGGTAGAGCTGGGTGCTCGAGGCTACTTTGAGAATCGTGGGCTAGTGCGCAGTGAGAGTTTGGGTTCTTCTCTATAGAGTTCGGAATGAGCGACCCTACGGGGTTGAAGCCAGAAAAGGCTCATGGGTATGCGACTCGAAGGATCGAAAATTGATCTATCCAAGGAAATATGGATTAGGTGAAGGCTGACCTTGACTAAGAGTAATCTTGGTGCCGCACAGATGCGTAGTTTCAGAATGAAAAACGCGCGGACTATGATAGATTTGGTATCAGAGCAGAGCAGCATGAGTGCGACAACGTGACCAATCTACATCAACAATGGATGAGTACTGTGGGCGGTGCCCCATGTGACGGGACCTCGATCCAATCCTTGAGGGCACAAGTGAGAGACATATGAACAAATGTCAGCTGTGTGCAACAAGAGAGTTAGGTGTGGTCTTGGCGTCGATGAGGGCATCGACATAGTAAGTGGGGGAGAGTGTCATGGCCAGGCCTTGGTCCTGCCATGACTGATCCTGAACCGAGCAGCGATCGAGATCAAGCTGGCGGGAAAGTGATTTTAAGATACACGGGCGTGCATTTAGAGCTTTGAAACATGTTACTAACATGTTGTGCGAACAGTGAGAGCCCTAGACTGCAAGATACACGAGGAAGTTCGAAACAGTGATCAAACACCCTCAAGCCAAGTAACCTGACGAGTGCTATCAGTGGAAGCAGTGTGCAAACGTTCTGAGCATGAGAATATGTTAGAGATATTGTGCGTGGATGATCTGAGCTATAAACCCCAAGATACATAGGTAAATGTAAGACGCTTTTTATAAGACAAAACCGTAAAATCAAGAGAACCGGAACAAATAATACCTTACAAAGGTATGAACTGTAACAGTTAGACTGATCTAAAACGTCGGATGATTGAATGTCCGAATCCTAAAATCGCACGAATTCAACACTTAAGTCTCGACCCGTGACACTAAGCTTGAAAACTTCCAATTAGAGTCATGATTTTTGTCCATTCATGAGTTTCTTTAGTGACGTCCACTGAAATGGAAATTAAACTCCATTCATTAGTTTAGTTTCTTTGGAATCATTCAATGAAATGGAAAATTAAACTATATCTAAATCTCTAGACCACCTTCATAGCTAGCAGTGAAGGGGATTATCTGTTACAATATAACAATCAAACTCCATTGCAAAGACAACTTTTTGCTCTATCATACAAGATAAAACAGCACCCAATATGATTGACATTCATCATCATCTCACACTAGAAGCATGCTTGGCCTCAATATCTTCAAGTCTGAGAGTCACGGCTCGTTTGTGAGCATCAAGCCCCTCAACTTCAGCCATGGTGGCCACATATGGGCCAAGATTTCTTAGGCCTTCCTCTGTCAGAGATTGTACAGTAATGTACTTAAGGAAAGAGTCAAGTGACACCCCACCATACATCCTTGCATAGCCATATGTTGGAAGAACATGGTTTGTCCCACTTGCATAGTCTCCCACACTCTCTGGCGTCCACTGCCCTAGGAACACTGAACCTGCAGGAGCAAAGACAAAGCATTTAATGAAAATGGCCATCATGCAAAACAAATATAGTTTGGCAGCAGAAAACTTGTTATGTAGATTACATGTAGACCCAACAAATGTGGATGTAGGACATTAAACATTAATGTCAGCATAAAACAGCCTAAAACTTAACAGTAATTACTGTCAAATTTATATAAATGGGATACATGTTTACAGGTCAATTTTAACATTGTGTTTTCTTTGGCTCAAGGTGACGGTTAAGAAGGAAACATAACGCATGATAATACACAAATATTGCATTCAGAACAGCTATCAAAAGCTTTCTAACAAATCTGTATCATTCAGACATCCTGATCAAAGCATGAGAATACATGTATATTGCATTAAGAATTCCTATCAACAGCTTTCCAACAAATGTATGACATTAAGACTTCCTAATTGAAGCATGAAAATACATATATATTGAATGTTCTCTACTTGGATCTCAAACCAATTACATAATGCATGTATAAAACAAGTAGGAAAATTTTAAAGATGCAAATGAGAAACCAGCAGGAGCATATGTAAAACACATTCAAATAATTGACCAAAATAATGTTGTAGTGACATAGCAACAAACTAAAAAGGGGAATTATCAAGGTAGAAACTAACAGCCATCACAATGGTTATTGTGACAAGAAGAAAAAAACTATAATAAAACAATATAGCCAAAAGATGCAGTTTATAAAAATACCAGCATTCTCAACAAAACCATCCCATTTTTCTGCATCCTTCACATTCATGATCAGGTGCTCTGGTGCATATAAATTCGAGAAGGAGATTGCCTAAAGGAAAATGATCATGAAATTCCATAAAACAGAATACAAGATATTTTCTATACTTGAATTGTATAATTGCAAGATCCAAATCAGAAATAAACCCAAATTTGGAAAAAGTTGGAACTTCTAGCTTTTAGACATTTTTGGTGAAAGCAGGGTTACACATTATCCAAGTCTTGATGCAATAAAAGCTTGTCCTGAAAACTTTGATAAATTTTCACCATCTGAAGATATTGCATGCAAGTAGGGGATCAAAATAGATTAGTGTGAGCTCTGGGCACCAAGACAGGAAAATGAAAACTAACCTCAACCATATCACGAGCAAAAACAGTGAAACTATGGCTTAGTGCTTTTGAAGCAAAATCTCCCCTTGGAAGGCTTTGGCACTGTTTACTAATTTCATCCTCAATAGCTTTAAGATCCACACCCTCACCAGCCATTACAAGAACAACCTGGCTATCAGGGCCATGCTCAGCCTGAAAATAGCAGATTTTATCAATTAATACATCAGGTCCAAGAGAAGCAGGATTTTTTTAATGTTTTGTACAGATTAAGTCAAACTGGACCTTGGGCTGTAGAAAGGAAGACAACCATGTTCTATTCCCCATAGTCCTACCCTCCCTTCCCCAGGTTCAAATTTGATGGTTGTGAACTGAAAATCCCAAGTTTAACCAGTGACACATCCCTTTGGGGCATAAAAGCAGCAAGTTAGTTATCAAGACTATGCTTTACTCTCCAATTTAGTATAGAATATTTTCTAACGACAATGGAACAAAAGAAGTGTCTAACATGGGTGTCACTAGACAAGGGATTGAACAGTCTACTTTGCAAGTTCTGGGTTTCAAATAATCCTCCATTTTAAAATGAAAATTAAAACTCAGGAAATTTGAAAAGTAGGAAACAAGGGATAATTATAAAAACACATGCACATGTGACTCGGAATGTCACTGAAAATTACAACACAAACAAAAAGTCTACTAAAAGGTCAAATTCTGAGATTAGTCCATGTACTCTGGCCAAAATCAAGATTTAGTCCCTATACAATAATTTGATCAAATCAAGTCCCTCTACTTTTCAGAGTGTGAAATTCAGTCCAAATTTTAAGAGTTAACACTCCACCATCATGTTGCTGATGTGGCCCTTCTTTTTTTTGCCTAGATGGACTGCAGATGTGGGATTTTCATGCTTGAAAATGCCAGCTTGGAAATTACAAGCTAGCATTTCGCTTTAATTTCTCTTTCATTTTTCTTTCTCTTTCAACCGGAGACCAAGCAACCATTTTCTTTCAACCCAATCAAGCAACCCTTTAAACTCAATCGAGCGATAACAACACTAAAGATCATAAATGCAAAAACAACCTTGAACTTGTGAGGTTCTTTTATCTTGATTTGCAGAAAGAAAGTCATCATACCCCTTACAAGTTCATGATAAAGGCCAAAAGAAAGTCCTATGAAGGATATAAGTCTATAGCCATCAACCTCACCATGCATTATGAATCATCTAAATTACAAACCTTTGCTGTCCTGATGGAGAATTTCATGGAACAGCAGAAAACTTGAGATCGGTAATTTCACCACTCACCAATATAGTAAAGACAAATGATCACAAACGCCTCAAGATAAGATTTAAGTAAAAAAGTAGCTAATTAGAACTAAGAAGAAAAAGGTGAAAACCTGGGAGAGCAAATCTGCAGCTATATGTGCAGGACTGGCATGTTTGTCAGCAATAACCAGAACTTCTGAAGGGCCAGCTGGCATGTCAATTGAAATCATAGCCTCACTATTCTATGAGGAAATAGAAACAGAAGATAGAATCAAATCAAAATTGAGGAAAATGCGTTTCTACAACTTTCTTCGATTGGATCAAACTGATGTACAAGTTCTAAGAGCTAGTAAACTGAACTTACTTGGAGAATCATTTTGGCAGCTGTTACATACTGATTTCCGGGTCCAAAAATTTTCTCAACCTGCAACAAAGGCAAAACCATTAACACCAATAAAAAGCTGAAAAAGATCCAATCATGATAAATCAAATCTTATCTTTCTTCCTAAAATCAAATCTTGTCTGAGTTATCTTGCCTTCAACAACTAATCATATTTGAAGTCTTGAACAACTCATCAAGACTTTGTTTAGTCTGGTATACATGCTCAACGGTAACAAACTGGACCATAAACCTCCTGTATAGCTTTCTGATCATATACAAGTTATTACATTGATTTTAAATGAGCTTTCTGATCATCATTATGATTTTCTAATGGCATTTCAACATCCTTCATTTAAAATCAATATTTTGTCATAACTAACTATGTTATTTACATCAGCATGCTATTATCCACACACAGGCAAATAGAGAAAGATGTGCAAGGGAAATTGACTTTGCATGATGAGTCTTGCTGAAGATTTGCATTTTTTAAAGGATTAATTAAATTACACTCAACACAAATAACTGAAGGCTTCTAGTGCAATTCCCCAGCCAGTTGGCATGACATCATACATAAAACACAGATTCGTCACAGAGAAACACAATGCATAAAACTCAGTTAGAGATAGCTTAGTAAGAACATATAAAAGAATTTGATAAATCAATTAAGCTCAAAAGAAAAGCCTCTTAGTTTCTGATTAATAAATTACTGACAGGAAACACAAGAGAAATCACTACTCATTCATCTTCAAAAAATTGCCGTAGATATCTAAAACCCAATAACTGAGAAAAAGTTGATGAGGAATCATTACCTTTGGGCAAGATTCTGTTCCCCAGGCCATTGCAGAAATGGCCTGTAAAATTCAGTTTTTTTAAGAAAAAAAAGGTTAAGATCTGATAGGAATGTAAAAAAAATACTAAAAACAATAGTTCAAATGCAGAATGTAAGCATATCTTCAGACCTGAGCTCCGCCAGCTTTAAGAATGTGAGTTACACCAGCCTTCTTAGCACAATATAGTACCTCCTATAGCAAAATCCTGATCAGCTCTCTCTCTTTATATGCTATTTCTATAAAAGAAAAAAACAAAAATACCTTACATATACTGCCATCTTGGCCTGGAGGAGTTGCTAGAACAACAGTTTTACATCCGGCAATCTGTGCAGGCTGGAGTGAGGAATAAACCAAATGTCAAATAAACCGTTAAAACAGACAGAGAACTAGAGATATAATTAATGTAATTCATTTGATCAACTTACAACAGAAAGCATTAGAGCAGTTGAAGGCAAAACAGCAGTTCCCCCTGGTACGTAAAGACCAACAGAACCAATACTCCTAGCCACCCTTTTGCATGTAACACCCTATCAGAGTATGAAAATATTTATTATGTTGAAAATAAATGAAAGATACAATAACAAAGCAGTAATACTAACTTACTTTCATGTTCTCAACACTTTTCTCAGCAGACTTTTGGGCAAGATGAAATGCATATATGTTGTCGTATGCCACATCAAATGCCTCTTTAATAGTTGGGTCAAGCTGAGACATGGCAGCATAGCAAGAAAAAAGCAATGGAGATAAAATAAACTGAAGAAACAAATTAGAGGTTTGATGAGATTTCAAGAAGAATAATTTTTCAAAAAGAATACCTCAGGATAAGGAAGGTCCGAGACATTTTCAACAATTTTCTGTAGCTTAACTTTATCAAACTTTTCAGTATAACTGCAAAAGAAATATACTTGCAAATAACCACATGCATAACCACATTACTGAAAATGCTCACAGGAAAAAAAAAAAAAGAGCAAGTAAAGATTGACAGCAGCACCGACGCTTTAACTGCAGCATCGCCTCTGCTGCGGACATCATCAACTATTGGTTGGATCTGAGAGGTATATCATATATGAACATTAAAAACTGGCAGGGATTGAATAAAGATAATGTATGAGCAAAGAGGAAAAGATGACACAGGAAAGAAAAGATAGGCCCACCATGCCGAATATAGAAGAAAAATCAATGCGAGGACGAGCCTTCAAGCTTTCTAACTCAGCATGACTAAGTTCTGATAACTTATAAGACTTCATTGCACACCTTATTCTCTTACAAGCCAATCCTGTAATAGTGGTCCATTATAGAAAAAAATTAAATGTTTTGCAAAGTGTCCTAAATTAGGTGCGTAGACTAGTGAACAAGTTTTTTTTTTTTTTGGGATAAATGGCAATTTTATTTATCCAAGAAGCAGGGAAAAAGAAACCTGCTATCAAAATACAAACATTCATCAGCTGTAATGAATGGATACCATCTATACTATGAATTACATATATACCAATTTTGACATAAACTTGTATTTACAGCAGTATATACTTGAATCAAACCATACAACCGGAACCTAACAGTCTCTTGAACACAATGAAACACGTCTTTTTATCAAGTACAAGTACAAAAAATTTTAGAATAAAAGAGATTCATGAAACAACTACTGAGCCAAATGCAACAAACACCAATCATTTTCATATCAACTAAGCAACTGAAATACCATTTAAGAAATTCAAAAAGGAAAAGTAAGTACCTGTAGGAAAAGCGATCGATGAAAGACGGATCAAATTAGGGGCAGTGAAAGAACGAAAATGGGAAGAGTGTGTTGGTTTAATAGAAAGATCGGTTCCGTTAATTCGTAGAAGCTGAGAATCCATAACCACCTTCAACTCAAATTAATGTATCAATATCAACTGATTATATAAAAATATTTGTAGAATTTATTTATGATGATAAGATTACCCGGTGGGTGACGATGGCGGCGGCGGCTGCTGCAGTTCACTGAGCCACACAAGTGAGCCCTGGCTGTAGAGAAAGCCAAAAAATGAGTTTTCTTTTTTTCTTTTTTTTTCAAAAAAAGGTAACTGAAAAATCTTAATTTCCAAACTAAGTAGTTTGATTCTTATTTCCTAAACCACTGTATTAGCACCAAATAAGTCAACATCACATCAGGTATATGCTCTAGGGTTTAGCGTTTTTTATCAGAGTGAAAAGGTTGGTGTACAAACGTTAGCTTCGATCTCATCATTTATAATTTTTTTTTTTTTTTTAAGAATTTGAACTTTTTATAAAAATTAAATAATTTTTATTTATTGTTGATCTAACCTTAACTTTAGATTATTTATTTCGCTTCACCATTAAGTTGGGATCATAATTTTCGCTTTACAATCCTGAAATCTAATTTGAAAATTATTGTTTATTGTTTCATTTCTTTATTAATTATTATTTGAAGAAATTTGAATTGCCACATTTGTTATATTCTTAATGAGCAAATTTATTTTCCTCAATTGCACTTAAGATATTTTAAAAAAAAACCTTAATTACAAGCCTTAAATATCAATATTAAATCTGTTTATATTAATTTTTAAAAATAATTATATAAATCAATGAAATTAAGTTTTGAATTTAATTACAAATTACAGTGCTTCTTTACGAGGAACAAAGAATAGAAACTCAAGATATAGCTGGGCTCGGAAAGGCAAATCAATGAAAATTTAACAAATAACGTTAATGCAATATATATGCTCATATATATTTTTTTATATAACAAATAAAGTTCTTCAGACAATTTATACAAATAGACTAATCAAATTTTTTTCTCATTTAATTCAATGAATGACTAACATTTGAAATCAAATAACTTGAAATAATCAATGGCCCAAACTTAAACTTGATTAACATCTGAAACTTAAAAAAAAAAAAAAATCAAGATTATGATATATGAATGAAAGAGGAGCATCCAAAATAAGTGTGTTTTTGAGCTCATTCACTGAAACCAACTGGCTGCTAGTTGACAACTTGAGGACTTTTATATTTGCCAGACTTTGAGCTCATTGTCCAGAAACTCATGCTGAAAGCAAAAGGGCTTAACAGCTCTAGCGTGAGTGTAAATCTTGCCTCAAAAACATAATTTCAGTGGATATAATAAGGTTCTTCATACAACTTATAGTAAATCTGAAACTCATTTGAAGATCAAACTGAATTTTATTATTGAAAGCCTTAAAAGAAGGCCATTATGGGAACCAGCACTGAGTTGAAACTTTTCTATCCATTCATATCGTGCTTCATTTTTACAACAAATTTTGAATGGAAATCAGCTGTTCCATATGCCAAATGAAAATACTCAAAAAGGGAGGCCAATGAGATGTTAAATTCCCTGAATATTAAATTTAGATATAAAAAATGGATTATATAGAAGAAAGATCTTCGTATATAGTCTTGATACCTGGCCTCTCGGAGACAGATCGTACACATCTTAATGCTATTCCAAGGCCCTCCTTCATTCCCTTCTCAGTAGCTGGATTCCCCATCTCTTGCGCCAAGGCAGAATCAAAGCAATCTGAGCCACAGCCTTCTGCTACCCTCAACTGCACCCATTCTGTCAATTCAATCCCTTCCTCTTCCCCGGGAATTACATCACCAGCACATTTGCCAGTTAGAAGTTCCAACAGAATCACTCCAAATGCAAAAACATCTGACTTAAAGGAAAGCAGCGGTTTCTTGCTGTCAGCTAACTCTGGTGCGCGATAACCCTGGAGACCAGCATCAAGAATTTGTTCCATGGTGCCAGCTTGTGTCATGAGGCGGTGTAGGCAGTAATCAGCAACACGTGCATTAAGATCAGGCCCATCTAATAGTATGTTTGTTGCTTTTAGGTTACCGTGTGGAACAGCACGGTCAAAATGGAGATAGTTTAGGCCACGTGCAACATCAACAGCTATTTTCAGCCTCTGTGCCCAGGATAAAGGTGGGCCTTTTCTTCCTGGTCGATCTGAAAATGTTATATTAGATGTGATCATTAGTAACGAGAATGAAAGTAAGCCAAATCTATAGAAGTTACAAATATTATAATTTTATCATCATCATGTTCAAAAACATGCAATAACTAAATGATGTCTCTCATATGAATATATTGTTTGTCACTTTTACATACTATTTTGCTAAGATATAAAAAGTGACATGATCAAAATCTATTTTACATAAAAGCTAGGAAAAGAGTATCAAAAAGGGAAGCATGAAAGACAATATCATATCATATCATAAATAATCTATTCCTTCAATCATCAATGAAAGAAGAAAAACAAATGGAGGAGGCAATAGTAAGAGAGTAGAAGAACTCGTCTATCCATGCAGAAGTTTCTTAAGATATAGGAACAGAGAAGAAAACAACTTTACCACTTGAAACCCAACTAGTGAACCATTTTTCTATTGGCTACAACTGAAAAAACTAGACAGGATTAATGAACAGTACTAATTCATAGCACATTAACTCAACTGTGCCAACTGCAATGCATCAATAAAAAGATTGTAAGAAGCAAGCAAACACATTTGAATTTTCAAAAAAAAAAAAATTAAAACAAACACATTTGTATCCAACAAAGATACATCTCTTCTGATATGGCCCCAAAAAAATAAAGTAGAGAACTAACTGCTTTAATGGTTTTGTTTTAATTGTTTTCATCTATGCTACACCCATATACCCCTGGTAAACATGCCCTGCAAGACAAGTTATCTAAATCAGAAAGTTTGGTATAAAAGTTTAGAAACCTTGTAAGTAGTAAAGCAGCTACATTTATTTTGTGCTAAACTACCAGCAACCTAAACAGTTTGATTTTGCAAAAATAATGTTGTTCCAGACCAGTCTTCTCAGAAGCATGGGACTAAGCCCCTCCATTTTCAAGTAGCAGTAATTAAAGGTCTATATATGGATCTGGATTTTATACTGAAACCTTGACAAAGAGGTACCACACTGAAAGGAGAAAAGGACCAAGCATATGAAAGTACCCGCATATGACAGTGAAGGTGAAATAAAAGTTAGATCAAACAAAAAGATTTCCACTATCCCCCCTTCACTCTTATGTTTTTTGATAAGCAGTGTTCTAATAAGAGAAGCGCAAATAATTTGTTGAAAAGCTAGAGGGTAAACAATTACCATAAAGAAAGCTTGCAAGACTTCCAGGTGAGATATAATCAGAAAGAATCAGCTTCTCATGCTGGGTGGGCCCCCAATAGTATCCTCTCAAACCCACCACATTAGGATGCCTAATGTTTGCAAATTTTTTAGCCTCCTTAGCAAATTCTTTTCTCTGTTTTGCCACCCCTTCTCTGAGCCACTTCACAGTCAAGAAGACTCCATTATCCAATGTTGCCCTGTAAGAAGTCCCATGACTGCTCCTTCCTAAAACTTCTGCTGGAGCCCTTGACAGCTCCTCAGGTGTCAATGTGATTGTATCATCAAGAAAATGCAGCTCACCAACCAATCGATCTGGTGTTCTTACATCCAGTTTTACAAGGTGCTCAGCAGTTAATGAATCTCCAGACTCTGGTGACCAAGATAAATGGCCGGTCTTTGAAGAAGAGTAGCCAGTCACAGCTGCCATTTTCTCACTGGGACTGATAATTTCAGATGATGATCCTTTCCTTGAAGTCACAAGATCATCTGCTGAAACAACCAAAGCACCCCCACTCTCAGTCCCAACAATGCTAGAATTTGTTGGTGCTTGCTTGCGAACATCTTTACTTGTAAAATGCACCGGAGGAGTTCTCCTTGATATACGGATGTAATGTATGAATATAGCAAGCAGGATGAGAATGATGAGAGCAACCACACATGACACCACAATCACCCATTTCACAAATGTGTTAATCGGTTTCTTCTTGGAATGTTCAGCAGGGGCATTGTTCAATCCAGAAGGACCACTAGGAAAAAGCAACTTAGAATTTCCAGGGTAGAAGGAGGAAGTAGGGAACTTCCTCAGATTTTCTGGGACAACTCCAGAGAGATCGTTGTAGGAAACATTAAAGCTTTGAAGCCCGTTAGGGGTCTTGTTTGGTAAAGATCCAGTAAAATGATTCTGGGATATATCTAATGAGCTTAGCGAGTTCATGTCAGCCATGGAAGTTGGCAGAGAACCAGATAAGTTATTGCCCGCAAGATTGAGCACTTGAAGTCCAGCCAATGACCCAAATTGGTTGGGAAAATAGCCATTAAGCCAATTATGAGAGAGATCAAGAACATGGAGGTTGGACTCACTTGGAGGAGATAACTCAATGGCACCAGAAATTAAATTATTCCCAAGATGAAGTTCTTCCAAAGTAGCCAAGTTTAGTATGTCATTTAAAAGAGGTCCATCCAATTGGTTGAAACTAAGATCAAGGACTCTAAGCTTTGGGTACTGCATTATCACTTTTGGTAGAGGGCTACTAAGGGAATTATGTGAGAGGTTGAGATGATTTAAACGCAAAAATTGGGGAGTTACCTCAGGAATCAACCCTGTCAAAAGATTATGGCTAAGATCAAGGTATTCAATATCCCCCCATTTCAACATTCTTGTTAAATTTCCTTCTAATTTGTTATTTGATAGATCAAGTACAGCACAACTTCCGGTCAGTAAAGGAAGTTCCCCTGTGAGCACATTTGAAGAAAGATTGAGAATCTGCAGATTTGTTGACATGATAATGGATACTGGCCCTGAAAAATAAACCAGGAAGTATAAGGAATGGTAGAATGCAGAAAACCGGACAAAGCAACTAAGTTCAATTCATAAGTTGGCAAAAAAATTCACATATTCAAGCTTTTTAGCATTCCACTGTAGGATGAAGTAGCAAACTAGCAATATCATTAAAAAGCTACCTGAGAGATTGTTCCCACTTAAATCAAGCTCAGTTAAAAGCAGAGAATCTCCTTTCAGCAGGACATTAGGAATGAAGCCTGAGAATCTGTTGTTGCTCAGCTTAAGGACTTGAAGATCATATGCAAAATTAAATCCAGGCAATTCTCCAGACAGCTGATTGTAGCTTAGATCCAACACCTTCAAACTTCCAAACAACTGAAGCTCAGCTTCCCCAACCAATGATCCAGTAAGTTGGTTGTGGCTAAGATTTAAAAACTTGACACTCTCAGAAATACCGGGGAGCAATTTCTGCGAACTAGAGCTCTGCAGCATATTCCTACTAAAGTCAACATGGCTGGCATTTGATAGAAGGAAAAACTCCCCGTCTAAGCTGCCATCTAGCATATTCCCATGCAAGTCTAGCACCTTAAGACCAGATATGAGCTCAAACCCTTTTGGGATTCTCTTGGTAAACTGATTGGAAGATAGATTTAGATACAACAGCTCATTCAGTTTTGTTAATGAGGTCGGCAGTGAACTGGACAGGGAATTGCGACTCAAGTCCAAAGATTGGATTGAAACAAGCCCTGAAATTGTATCTGGAATTGAGCCTGAGATGTTATTCCCAGCCAGTGAAAGATTCCGTAAGCTCCCTAACTTACCAACTCCCGGTGGTAATGATGAATAAAAGAGATTATTTGACACATCCAGAAACTCAAGACTTTTGAAGTCACCTATATTGTCAGGAATGACACCCGCAATAGAGTTGTTTGACATGGACAGTTTCACAAGCTTCGTAAGGTTTGAAAAAACACTCAAATCTGCATCAGCAGAGAGACTTAAGTTATCAAGGATAACACCAGCAACATTTCCACCATTACAGACAATCCCATTCCAAGAAGAAGGGCAGCCATTGAAATCGATGGACTCCTCATTCCATGAATCAAGGACATAACCCGTAGGGTCATGCTTAATACCCTTCTTGAATTCAAGCAATGCCAGAATGTCCTGTGAGGGAAGCTGCCCCATGGCAGAAAGGAAAAATATGGATAACACTAAAATTTTAAAGAGCATCATATTAATCCTATCAATCCCAAGTTAGCTAAAAGTTAAAAACCAGAAATAAACGGAGGGTTTCCTCTCCCTAATGCAGAGATTGGATTACAACAAACTGAATTTCAGAGAAGTTAAGATTAAAACACAAAATAGAAGCCCAAAATCCCCCTCAATCTCTGCAGTAATAATCCTTTTACATAAAGAACAAGGTAATTGCACGATACTACAGAGAGTCATCAATCTCTTAAATCCACAGATTCAACGAGTTTAGAACCATTTCACTAAAAGCAGGAGTAACTCTAAAAGCCCTCTCTTCAGTACAAGCAGCATTCACCTTCAGAGGAGATGGAATGAACAACATTCACGAGTTCAACGCAAAACCGAAAATGTGATGAGTAACACAGCAATGTACCTGATACAAGAGCACATTATGACAAAGACAAGCCTCAAAAGAGCCGATTCTGACTCCAACAGGAATGAGTGATGGAGATAACTTTCAACAAGGAACTATCTTTAACTACACAAACTAAGCTAAAGCATTAAATGACTGAAAATCAACTGCAAAAACACTGGGCCCCATGGAGAGATCTAACCGACAATGCAGCATTTTTCTTACCAAGACCCCTACATCCATCAACAATGTAGGCTCAAAGGAAAAGGTTATGTGAGAAGCCCAAGACTTTTAAGCGAACTAGACCATTTCCTAGCAAAAATGTAAGAGCTTCACACTGGTAAGAGCTCACTCAAACAAGAAACAGGTCTCGAAATGAGGAGCTAAAAGGGAAATAGTAAACAAAATAGACCACATATACTTTATTAGGCATGAAATTATATAACCTTTTCAAAGCAATATAGATTTTAGTTGTTCAACTTTAAAAGGGCCAAAACCCTAATTTCTTTTATAACAATGACCAGAAACTCCCCCAAAAAGGCTTTCCTGTGTCTCTTTTACTATTCTCCTTTGTCTCTTTTGTTTGTTTAAAACTTCTAACCATTAGTCTAATTAATTAGGGATTTATCCGCCAAAGAAAAAGAGAGGGAAGGGACTAATTAATTATTGTTGGTTTTGAACTGTGTTGACATGGTGGACGTCAAAGGGTTTATCAAATCCAGTTTAAAGGTTGTCTTCAGCATTGAGGTCAGATCACCAATGCCCCTTTAACCAGGGTTTTTTTTTTTTTTATTCTCTTCTCTGATTTGGTTTGGTTTGGTTTGGTTTTTTTCCTTTACCTAAGTTCCAATAAACACACAGAAAAGGGTAGGCTAGGCGAGGTGAGTTGGGTGGGAACATTATTAGAGGGATGTACATTGGTGTGGAAAGTGGGACCACTGTCACCCACTTTGTCCACCACTACCACCGTTAGTTGCTGACACGTGGAGAGGATGTCCCCAGAGTTAATAGAATGTGGACTTGATGATGGTGAATGAGTGAGAGGAGAGGAATGTTGTTTATTCCTTGTCAACTCCCCAAGTCCTCCCAACAATGAATGTCAAAGAATCCTAAATACAAAAATAATATTTAAAAAAGAATAAAGAATAAAGCTAAAGTATAAGAACTGCTGCCCTTTAATGCGTGGTAAAGGAGATGATAATTTCGTACTAGCGTTGCCTGCACCAATCGGCATGTTTACTTTGTTTAATATAAAAAAATCAACATTTTCAAATATATACATATATATTTTTTGAAAACAAATGGAGTCAGGGTTTTTTTTGTTTTCCTGGTCGGACCGGGCTTTGACGGATGGATCAAAGGAAGGCTTTTCTATGCCTCATCATTAAAAGCAAGCTGTCAGGAAAATGCATTTTCAGTTTGCATTCGGATTTCATGCATGACTAATTAAAAAATATAAAAACAAAATATACAAAAATATCATGATTTAAAATTTTAAAAAAATTATAAATAAAATTTAATAAAATTAAAAAATTATATTTTATATTTTTATATTAATACAAATTATAATATGTGATTTTCATGTAAAATATAACACGAATATAATATTTTACACAATACAATGACTTGAATTATTATATTTAAATTATATATTGTAAGTGATGGATGCAAATAAGTTTCTTCTACAAAACAGCTAGTGCTCAAATAAGGAGGCATAGTATATATTAATCCTTCTTCCTATTGATATGCCACAAAAGCAGCTCATACATCAAAAGAATGGGTGCTCACACTCGACTATTGACTCCTGTCTCAAGTAAACACTCTTTCACTTCTTCCCACCTCCAGAAACATTAAACTTGAAAAATATTACGTCTCCATCTTGGACCATATAAGTTTTCCCCTCCTGCCTATATTTTCCAGCAGCCTGATCAAAAAGGAAAAAGGTGAGATTATATATGTGTGTGTCATATACACATGTCATGCACCTAGAACCAGCCAACATTTCACAAGTTCAATCACAACATATAAACTTGTATATGAACCAGAGACCAGCCACAGCTCAAGATGCAATGAGCTTGCCCACCAGGACTGTGGCTTATGCAACACCTCATACCTCAATCTTGCATGCGAACTTAAATCCTAGTCTTAGCAGTTCATCTCTCATCACATGTTATTTATTCTCTACTACTTCTAATTATGAACCTTCAACTTACGTTTGTGGAGTAAGTAATAGAAGCTAAGCAAAAATTGTTCATAAAAATAATAACCTTAACAGCTCCTTCACTGCCAAGCTCCTTCAGATCTTCAAATTTCATGACCTGGACACCATCAAGATATCAAAGTCACTAACAGAACTTTGACATGTATATGTTACTATAAAAGCTAGTGAAAAAATATATCAAATGCACCGAAGCTTCAATATCCAAACTTAAAACAGTAGAATAACTGTAATCAATAAAATCCGAGCAGATAAAAGAAATTGATTATGGGAAAGGGGAAAACAGTTCCAGCTTAGAGATTTGAAAGCATAATCATTGTCATAGTTTATAACAGAAGCTAATGCCAGAGCAAATTTAAATTTTCTTTCAATGAATTGATATGGTAAGACAGAAAGTCATGATCTAAGAACAACCTCAGCACAAATAAATCCTCTCTCAAAATCAGAATGAATGGCTCCTGCAGCTTGAGGAGCCTTTGTTTGCCGTCTAATTTGCCAGCATTTCACCTGGAAAAGACAAAAGCAAATCATTGTATCGTACAGCCATCATTTGATTAACCAACACCAAAGAAACTAAACTGCAAGAAAATCTCCAAGAAGCTATCAATTTAAGAGAAGAGCTTCAAAACTTGCAACTGCATGGACCTTAGGGGAATTCAAAACCAGAGGACAGTCACTTAGATTACAACACTGCAATATCAGTCAGTGTGTAATGTACCCAATGTGGGCTGATATGAATTCTAAAGACATTATCTTAATGCTGAGATAGCATGCTCATTAAAAAAAGTCTAATTGAAATGAATAATCGATATCACAACATAGAATAAGGTAAGAGAAAGGTCTACAAAATCAATATCATGATCTAAGATCATTTTTAGAAGCATTAAATACTCTTCAGATCCTTCATTCAACTTGTTAATATAAAAATAAAACCACGCATTCCCATAAAAAAATAAATAAATAAGATCCAAAGGATTAGATACCTCATCAGGGCCAGCTGTGAAAAAGTATATGAGATTAATTGCTGAGAAACCAGTCTTGATGATCTTTGGAAGAGCACTGTAACAAAGAAAGATTGCTCACAATTATACAGACCGAATAAAAAAATGAAAAAAAAAAAAAAGTCAGTTCAAACACTGAAGACTATCTGCCATGAGACTTAGACTTCTCAAACAAAAAGCAATTAAACCATCATTACAATAGACAAATCCAGTCTCAACTAACCTTTGTACCTTGTTTTCCTCGCAATACTGTGCTGCTTCTTTAGGTTCCATATCAACAAGGTTTCTCTCAAACACTCCACTGAAAGGAATGATTGGTTCACCTCCATGTTCTTGCACCCTATAAAGGATAAAACAATTCTCATTATAATTGAGTAAATGAAAACCTTGATAGGATTTTTAAAAGTAAGATAAATCTAACAAGCAAAAATATATTTTCCCAACACCAATAATCAAGAATTGCTTAAACACAATTTAACCCTTTTGGTTAAATATATTTTTTCAACACCCTAATAAATCTAACAGCTTCTGCATTATTAGGGTTTATTTTTACTCAGGATACTTTTGGATATTTGAGTTTATGTTAGGGTTTTATGGCTTGTGGCTATAAATACTTAGGTGATTTTTTTAAGTAGCTTCTAAATTATAAAATACGAAGATCTTGCAATATTAATTTTGAGATTTCTCCCACTGATTCTCTTTGGTCGTCTCTCCATAATTCTTCTACTTCCTTACCAATTTCCTATGTTTCTTCCCCATTCCCTCTAATTTTCCTAGTGATCTATAGCTTCTCTCTATTTCCCCTCCTGTCCACAGCCTATATTCAACTTAAACATTGGAATATAGACTCAAGGGGATAAACTTTCAAGACAAATAAGAAGTGCCAACATGTTACTCAAACACAAATCTGTCTCACTTTTTTTCCTGCCATCATACAGAACAAGCACAAGTGACCCCACCTCCATCACACACAAACAGAAAGAGCAAGAGAGCATACCAAGCATGAATCTTTGGCAAAAACTTGTTCTTTTTTCTTTGGTAGTCTTTCTCAGTCATGTTAACCTGTGCATTGAATACAATAATATTATAATAAAATCTCTAGCCACATTATTTAAACCATGAAAGATAAAAGGACACTACTTTCTCTAAAAAAATACATTTGTAACACATCTGAAGCTCTCTCCTATTATAACAAGCAGCAATGTCATACAAATTAATGGAGAATATTCTGTTGGCTTTTTTATGTTCAACAACTATAAAAAAGAAGAAATTGTGAAAAGACCAAGCAGCTAGAAATAACAATGGTGTGTTGAGCCAAAGATACTTCAGATCACTTTGTGTCTTTTTCAATTTTAAAAAAAAAAAGAAAAAAGCAATCTAACAAGCACCGCACAATAACACAACTCAACACAAAAAATCCCCCTGGCAAAACAGAGAAATCACTTTCGAATTCAAGCATAAAAATGCTAGGAAGAACCAAGGATGACTCTGTAACCAACCATGACTTAACTAACTCTCGTCGCAAGTAATTCTGTTTCATTCAGTTAGATAAACCCCAACCCCCTTATTTTTCCTTCCTTCATCCAGCAAAAGAAAAAGCAAGAATATTGTTTAGCATTTAGAGCTGGGTATTCAAAAGCTCTACCGATGGCTGATCTGAAGGTGAAGACATCATTTTATTGGATCTTTCTAAAAATTTTTGTAGTTATGAAACATTTTGTCATTTCAAAATCTATAGTAAGTATGCAAGACTTTGTCTGTTACCCCATAATAAACCCTGCTTTGGTGCAAATTTGGTCAAATGTAATAATATAACTTGCTTTATTTGCAGTTTGACTCATTCTTGTAATAACACAAACACTTTTAAGAATTTAAAACATAAGAAAGCCTTTGCAGATTGCAAAGACTATGTTTTTCCAATATGAGTTATGATCAATAAGTAATATTCAAGAAATATGATTAGGCAAATATGTGCTATGATAATAAGTAATAATCCAATCATTAGGCAAATATGATTAGGCAACACTTTTAAGAATTCATTCAGGAAACATGTGCTATGATCAATAAGTAGTATTCCAATCATCACTTCCAGAAATATGATTAGGCAAATATGCCTATATTTTTCCAACATGGAAATATTGATCTCAAAAGCATATTAAACAATATATAATGGTAGGGCTACAGTTTGAGTAGTTTATTTTCTATGATGCTCAAACTTGGAAGTCAATATTAGACATGGGTAAGCATCCGACATGGCTGCACCTTTTTTTATGTCTTTTCTTTTATTTGGAGGGTCAAGACCACATATCAATCTCTATGTTGAGGTGTCAGATATGTGCCCAAGACAGGTTCTTCAGGAAAAACAAAGAGTTGGAACAACATAGGTTTATTTCATTAATTATTTATAACATATTACCGGTGATCAGCCAAGTCAAACAAGTCCAAATTGGTACTAATATGTGAAAATAGTATCCACACAACTGCAATCCAATTTAAGATTAGAATAAATGGCCATACCATTTACCTTGACTTCATCAAAATCATTCAGGTACTTACAGGAAAATCTTGCAGCAGGTTGTTATATATAAATCATAGATGCAGCATGCAACAAAAACTGATGATGAAACATAATAGATAGATTTAGCACATACAAGCACACCTTACTTAACAGACAACAAGAAAGTATTACACATTTAACAATAAGAAAAGAAAAAAAAAAAAAAAACAGGAATAGAAAATGAAAAAGAAGGAACATGCTCACCAAATAAACAACAGGCTTGGCACTAAGCAATTGAAAAGTATTCAATATCTCAATATCAGCTGCTTTCCAGTCCCCTAGGCGAACATCTTTTCCATCTTCAACCCATTCCTTGACCTGTAATTTAACAAGCACTATCACTTTTTGGTATTACTATAACCCACCATAAACAAATTCAGCTCTATAGCATAAGCTCATGAAACGATGAACCTGAAAACTTGATTAAATGCATCATTGACTGCTATAAGAGAGAGTATCAGGTGGATTATTAGAATAAGAAGACATGTTTGAAGCTACCTTCATTAAAAGCTTAAAGGTTCATTTTCATAAATACAAACCACATGCTTCTAAGCCTATAATCTCTGTTATTAATGAATACTATGAACTGTGAAGTACATTTGCAAACGATATTTTATCATTTAAAGACAGCAATATGCAACGGCAAATGACGAGCATATACACGATCAAAGAGAAAAGATAAGGCAGAAAAGTTGCAATTCTACGTGGAAGTAGCAAAGGCCATCACATACAACAAAGCAGATAGAAACTATTTAATACATAATATTTGAATCACTTTTTTGAAACCTTGCCTATTAAACACAATTTAACACTTTCAGCCCCCCCCCCCAACAAAAAAAAATTAACTCAATGTACCCAGGTAATAGCATTCCTATTTAAGACTCAATGTTGATTTCTTTTTATTTATTTTTGGGTTAATGTCATGAATGACTCTTAAACTATATAAAATGTTCGATGTGGTATCTGAACTTTAAAAATTTCTAATATGGTCCCTTAACTATGAATTTGTTAACCATGGGGTACTCCTAATGTGGCTAACTTCAAATGATGACACATGGCAGACAAACAACCCTTCAAATACCGCATTAGTTAATAGATTCATAGTTCAAATATTATATTAGAGATTTTTAAAGTTCAAGTGTCATATTGAACATTTCACTATAGTTTATGAGCCATTCATGATATTAACCCCTTTTTTTTTAAGGAAAAAGAAGAAAGAACCAACCTAAATGAGATCCAAAAGTCAGCCTAGCCAACCCATCTAAGACTGGTCAGAATGAAAGTTAAAAATGATAAGAAAAACATGTAACTTCTTAGGTTCATCTTAAACTCACTCAAAACTCGAAACAATCTAATATAAAAAGACACAAATTTATTAAAAAAAAACAAGTGAGGTCAAACGAAGGTCCCATTCTCAAAACAACCTAAAATTATTTAAACAAATAAATTAAAAACAACCTAAAATTATTTAAACAAATAAATTAAAACAACAATGACAACAACTCAAACCCAAAGAACATAACATTCCACTATATAATACAAACAACTCAAAATGGATTTAATTCAAAATAAACCCCAAAAACCTACCTAATTGCAATCCATATATAGAGGGGAAGAGATGGTTTACCAAAGAAAAAACCTTTTTCTCGGCAAATAAAAATTATACTCGCTACAAGAATTATGATTTACGTGTTCTGTTTTCACATATTAGTACCTAATTGCCATCTATGGCAATGATTATACGAGGATGTTGCCCTACATGTTCTGTACGACATTTGTTAGTCATGGTTGAATAAATTAATCAAGAACTTTTAACAACATGAATCATTTATCTTGGTAAAAGACCTTATTATATGTTTGGAAAAAGTCTGAAAAGTTAAAAGGCATTGGCTCAATACAGCACATAGGGAAATTTAGCCTAAGAAAGCTAAATAAAAAATTGGAGATTCTCTCAAAATTTTTTGTCACTCTTTCAAGAGGGGCAAAACCATGTATTCTCTCCATCTCACTCTGGATTTCACTTAGAAACAAAACCTCCTTTTGCATTTTCCATTTTGATTCATTTTTCTTTTTCTCAGCAATCAAAACACTATATTATCCTGCTATTTATCTCTGATTCTGGATCTCAAAGTATAATTCACAAAATACTTCCTCTTTTATCTCAAAACCCAACTCCTTTCAAGTTAACAATGTCTCAAACCCTAATCTTTGCAATCTGATTTGGCTTCACAAAGTTAATAATACAATTTCTTATTCTAATTTCAGAATCCTTCTCACAAAGGATATAAATTTTCATCTAAAACTTCTAATTTTTTTTTAATTATGTTTGCTAGTTTCCTAATTGATCTTCTCTTGTTTGCTAGGAAAGTGAATTATATATGATTCAAGTATTCTTTTTTTTCCCTCATTTTCTCATTGTTCTTATTTTATTTGCAATTAGACAAGAGTCAAGGTTTTTTTTTTCTTTTTTTTTTTTTGCTTTTGAATCATAACCATGATTTTTTAGAGTCGTGAGATAGGTGCTTTTCCTTTATCTCAACTTTGAGCTAATTTATTTCTTTGTATTTTTTAATCTTGAACTGGATCTTAGATTAGGGTTTTTCTTTTATTCAGACAAAGAAGAATATTATTTTTGGATTTTTGAATTTTGAACTTGAACATTTTGCATTCCAATTAAACTTGAATTTCAAATCTTCAAGTGCAACTTCTTGCTAGAATCTCATTCACCTAATTAAGCCTGGTTAAATCTATTGTGTTGAGATTTTTCATGATTGGGTTAACTGATGAAATTTTAATTTGAACTTCTACTGCTAAACAACTGTGGCCAAGACCTTAAAAAATATTTGAATAGTTTTGTTAAAGGAACAAGCATCGAAAAAAAAAAAAGTTACAGCCAATGCATTTAACATTTTATTCAAATTACAAATTACTATTAAAAATAAAAAATAGATAAATGAAGACTTTCTTTACATTTGGTGACAACTAGTCTTCACCAATGTTTGAACTTTTGACCACGACCAAAGTCCTAGTCTTAGGTATTTGAACGTCTGACCACAATCTTTTAAGTCATGGTCTTAGGTGTTTAAACTTTTAGTAACGACTTTTAGGTCATGGGCCTAAGACCACAAGGTCTATGGTGAGGGGCTGGCCACAACTTTTGGGTCGTGGTTTTAAGTTACGGTGTCAAAAGTTGTTGTCAAAGCCCAAATGTAGGAAATCTTACATTAAAACACGAAAATCAGTACAGGGCAGAAGTGGGTATCCTACATTTTGTACCAAACAAAACTGCTAAATTTGGTAAACAAGATAGAAACCGAAAATAAATAAATAAATGTCCACAGACTAAGGGCTGCCACCTAGGAGAATCATGAGATGTCCCCTCCATTTACAACACATTAGTAGGGCATCAACAGAAAAGGAACCAATAGAAAAAGAATAAGACCATCAAAGAATGCGGGAGATAAGATGAGACATGCAGCTAAAAGAAAAGATTGCATGTTCAAAACCCTACCTTTTGACACAATTCAAGCTCTATTTTTAACTGCTTGTCATTACTCCTCTTCATGCTCTTTGCAAGATCCTCTATCTTCTTTTCAATAAATTCAACATCCTAAAGAAAATAAAGTTTAGAATAAGTCCTCAGAATACAAAGATCCTGCTAGGTTCATCAATGTTGAAGTGAAAAAACAATAATATAAAAAATTATCAAAGAGATAAAGGAATTCATGATGAAGCAAAGACGGGATTGCATTTGTAACAAGCTGGATACAATAACACCAAGTGAAACATCATTTAGATGCCATAATTGAATTTCAAAAAATTTATAGTTAACTTTCTCCAAATTCCAATTTCATCTTCAGGCTTGTGAAATCTGCTGCTTAATCTTTCTTTGTATGGTGAACAAACCAACAGCTTTACAGCAAGGCATTTGTTAAATTGTCACACACCTACAAAAGCTTTTCGGAATGTGACTCGACAATAGCACATCCATTAGTAGGTATCAAAATATTCCTTTGTTGCACTTAATTACCATGAAGAGCTAGACTAAAAGTTGGTTTCCATGAAAGTAGAATCTAAGAGCAAAAAACAGCTTTGTAGTATCAGAGATTGTACAAAGTTGTCATACAAGATGAGGAGGTTACTTAAGCCAAAATAGTAGACAGATGTCAAGCGTCATGTGTCAAGCCTGAAATTTTATTGAAAAACACCTACAGGTTCATATTTTTTAAACTAGAACTATCAATCAAGAAATTAGATACATTTTATCAACTGACCTCGAAAAGTTAATGAAAGGCAATAAAGAGTAATGTCCATTACCATTATCAATGAAAAAGCAGCCTGTTCACCATAAACTAAAACTGCAAGCTTTCAGATTACTATTAACATAAAAAATATCCAACTCAAAGCCTAGAACCTTTAACATAAAAGCACCACTCTTTGACAGCTTTTACCAATGAAACTAGTGACCATAATGTTCTCCCATATGCTTCAACCTTTCAACAATCAGGCAATTTAGAAGGGGGGGGGGGGGAACCTACTTGCAACTTGATAACCCTAGTTCAGTAAAATGTTCACAGCACTTGGAGACAACAAAGACACCACCAGTAAAGCAACCATCCTACCACTGCCAATCACCCTGCTTTCATTGTATTGCTACCAAAAAGCATCACCATCTACATTACTCATCAGCTACTATCAGCACTCCTTGATTCTTACAGACATCAATACACAATAACAACCATATTATACTCCATGAGATTTTTTTAACCTCTACCAACATCACTTCTCACCATCCCCCTCTGCTACAAGACATTTTGCTCTCTAGCACCTTATCAAAATCCTTTTAATTAAACTTAATCATTGTTTAGATTTTCCTATCATCTTCAGTAAACAACCTAAAGCTACAACTCATTCTTATCAAGTAATCAAAATCCTACTTTTAGCATCTGAAGTCGCCCTCATTTAATTAGCAGCAATATCTCAGTAAATCATGATAAGCAGAGCCCCCATCAACATCATGGTTTAATATTCACTTCATGGAACTTTAACCTTCAACCTACTTTGTAGTGCTTTAACCTTAGTCCCCAATGGCCTGCAACCATTTGCCAGCACATAACCCTCTATTATTAGCCCTTCTTTGATATTAGAGTAAACTACACCATTAGCCACTTTAAGTTTCTTAAATTTTCTATTTAGGTCACTGACATTGTTGGTTTGTTTAAGTTTGTGGCCGCCCTCTATTAATTCCTAAGGAATGATTAATAGCAGCCAACTCATCAAAAGTAGTCCCATGTGGACCAATGATATGCAAACCAAGCAAATAAGGGAAAATAGAAAGAAAAAAAAATTGACTTGAAATCGAAATCTTTGTTCACTAACTTCTGCATACTAATCTCCCCAATCCCCAAATGCCCAAGCATAATCCAAGTACTAGGGCTCCTGTTGACTCTTCTCTGATCCTTAGTAAATTCTTCACTCTTTTCATTTTTAATTTTTGATTTATTCTTTTAAATGTTGATATTTATTTAATCATTGGTTTTTACAATTCCCCAGTTCTCTTGCATGTTTCAAAAAGCACAAACGTAATGACAGTATGACACCCACAATTTAACTTATTTTCATTTGATTTTCGTCTAATATTTGTAAAGCTCCAGATTTTGCCTGGAGAGTGTCCACAATTTCAATTTTTTTCTATTATTTATTTATTTGACATGTCAGCAGCCCACATGAGAAAATTTTTGATAAGTTGGCTGCCTATTATGCATTATGCTAGGGATTAATGGATAATGACTACAATTTGAAACAAACCAGTAACAATTAAGTAAAATAGAAATTTTGTAACTATGGTGACTAAAATATAAATTTTAACAAACTTTTAAGTGACTAATAGTGTAGTTTACCCTTGATATTAAATAACTTGAACTATTCTTATATGAGTAACATATTACATATGCTGAACTACTTTATTAAACCACAAAGGCTCTCTAAAATTGACTTGAATTAAGAAGTCAAACTACTCAAATGTAAGTACAACATCAATTTCTTTCAGAGATGAGAAATCAACAAAATTTACAGGGGCATAACCAAGGTACAGCTGTACAGGACATAAACAATCAGACCCAAACAAAAAACAAAATTTACTTTCTAAAATCTAGTTAAATGATAATCCAAAACATTGATCCCTGCCTTGCCCATATCATTTTACGAAGAGGCTCAACACTCAAACATAAAATACATTAATAAAATGAAAAAAGTTGCATATATTGATTACAGGAGGCCAAGGCAAAGCCTAGAATCAAGCTTGTGGATCTACAAATAGACCTAAAACTAACTCAACCTAAGCAAAGCATGTGCATGCATATCAAAGCAATCTTCCAATTCTCATGTATAAGGAGGATATATATCCAATATCGTCCAATGAAAAACAAGCCAGTTTAGCATTTGAATTGTATTATAGAAATCAGAGCTCCAAATATGCATTGCAAGTACATTAGAATTCAAGAATAACCAAACCTTTAACCGTAACTCTGCACTAATAGTCTCTAAATCCCTTACAGGATCTACAGAGTCATCAACATGGATGATGTCTGAATCTTCAAACGCACCTGTGGGATTGAGTATAAAATAAGAATTCCAAAGAAATTTGTTTCCATCAAAAGCAAAAAGTAACAACTATCAAACCTCGAACTCATTAATAACTGATACCAGCATAACTTTTTTGATAGCTCTTAACAAGCCTTTGCCATAAGATGCGTATGGAAAGCAAGCTTACCTAATTCAAAGCATACCAAATGATCTACCAATCCTTCAACAGGAGTTAGAACACCATGATTGACCATAGCATTAGTTACACAATACAAAATGTTGTTATTTTTTAACATTATCAAACTTAATTCATCAAAATGATCCTAGAAAGTATACCAGATTAGAACAGCAAGCTACTCATAAGACAACAATTGAAAGGAAAAAATTAACAGTCAACAAGGTATGGATTGACTTAAAAATTTATGTTACATCATATTAAACAAACACCAATGCCTGTCAACGCAAGAGTAAAATAAACACAGAAAATAGAGATATTTCCAGCCCAAAGCGCAGGCATCTTACGTAAAACATGAAAAATGCCATCAACTGCACGGATGTGAGACAAGAAGCTATTGCCCAACCCTTGCCCTTGATGGGCACCTCTGACCAGTCCCGCAATGTCATGAATTTCTAAGAAAGCTGATACCTGTTGCATCAGAATACCTCAAAGTTTTATGTATAAACAAGTTAAACAAGCAATAATAGGTTACAATCTGAAGATTAGAACTTCTGCAAGAAACAAGGGACAACTATTACAATAGATAAACAAAATATCTGGATCATTTCCAATTCACAGCGACTTAAACCACCAAACCAGAAGCATGCATTTATGTATTAGAAAAGCTTGGCCAGCAATTTTAGCATTACGCTATTGTCCCCCGCAATCTAGAAATGGCTTGCAATAGTAGTCGTCTAGAAGTGCAATTAACGCTAATTTTTAGGCAAGAAGAGAAGACAAAAGAGTTATACCTCACTTTTGGGCTTGTACAATTGGCAAAGCCAGTCGAAGCGGTCGTCAGGGACATTAACTCGGGCTTCATTAGGTTCGATTGTACAAAAGGGAAAGTTCTCAGCAGGAATTGAAAGCTTCGTGAGGGTGTTGAAAAGGGTAGACTTGCCCACATTTGGCAATCCCACCTGCAAAAGAAGAACCGATTCAGCACTGAAAATATAGAAATGAAATGGGAAAGGAATAAGTTGAAGAAGAAAGATACGATTCCGATCTTCAGGTGAGAAGAGAATCGGCCAAGGACGGGCCTCTCGGATGGTACTTCCTTGGATTTAGCAGCTTTTGGAGGCATGCTTGGAGTTGTAGCTTGTAGGGTTTAGCGGACAGCGGTGAGAAGAAGCGGGGCGGTGGAGAGTGCCGAGCTGGGCTTTTGGGAAAGAAGGCTACCGCCAGTTGGAAACACCTTTTACACCCAACGGCTCCAAATCTAGCACTCGTGCTTGCCTCAAACGTCAAAGCACGCCTGCTTTTTTCGTCAATGGACTTCACTCTCACAAGTACCTTTATTTTTTGAGTGAAAAATTACGTTTGGAAGGCCTAATATTGCATTCTTCGCGGCGGAAAACGTTTGTTTTTTTTTTTTTTTTAAATGCATTTAAAAAATATTGTGATAATTTGTGGTTTAAGATATTTGAGTATTTGGCATTATTATAAAAAATTGTTGTGAAAAGTTAAAATATATAAAGAAGATATGATATTGAAAAGTAAAGAATAAATCGTTTTTATATTATTCAATTAATTAATATTAAAATGTATAAAAAAATAAATTTCAAATATTTTTTAAGTAATTAATATAAATTATTGTGAAATTTAATTTAAAGTTATTAAAAAAATACACTTGTTAGTTGAAGGTATTTTTGTTAATAATAAAACGATTAAGTTCATTTTATCTCAAATCGTAAATTTTAAATTAAAGGTTTACTATTTGCACCACATTTTTTCTCAATACACCTTATTATTAAAGAGACATTTGGTTCATAGAATTTTGAATTTTAAAGAAAAATATGATATCTAGGTTTTTTTTTTATGAGATTTCATGTTTAGATTTACTCGTTTTATTAAAAAAATTTATTTATATTAATTTTGATATAATTATCATAATTTCTTTAATATATATGATAGTAACTTTTTATTTTATTTTATAAATAATAAATACTCAAATTACAAATGATACCTTTAATAATAAATGAAGATAAATATTTTATTTAATTGTTATTTCTATTTATAAAATATCATTAATTGAGGTATTTGGCACTTGTTTTAGTAATAGAAATTGGTAGGAAAATTTGTTAGAAAAAAGATTAGTTAATGCAATTATCACTTTTTTATATCATGAAAAAAAATTAAAAATGTTCTTTTAATTTATTTATAAAATGATCATTTAAGGTATTTTTGTATAAAAAAAAGTCTTAAATAATGTTTTTATTTTTTTATATTATAGGTCATTTAATAATTATCATTTAATTTAAAAAAAGATTATTTAAAGCATTTCTATTCAAAAAACCCCTTAAATAATATTTTTATAAAAATATTAACCGTAAAATATAAAGAATTATTTAAAGCGTTTTTTTGTACAAAAACATCTTAATTAAAATGCCTTCATTAATATTTTTTTATTTTTATAAAAGCATTATTCAAGACATTTTCTGTACATAAACGCCTTAAATAATCTTTTTATAAAAATAGTAACCCTAAATCATAAAATATAAAAGAACTATTTAAGATGTTTCTTCATGTAAAACACCTTAATTACGATATAAAAAAATATTTTTATGTACAAAAACATACAACTGAGTTATAGTCACTTTCAGACCTATTTTTCAAAAGGGTAATAAATATTTTAACACTTCTATTCAAATCAAATTTAGAAATAAGAGAACTTTCCTCTTAGAAATCTTAAAATACCATAAAAAGAGGTGGGTTTATGATTTCAGAACTTTGGGTACTATTAAAAATTTGACATTTTCTCCTATAATTAGATTAACCACCATTAAGATTCTAAGAAAAAATTTGCGGATTCCCTCGAACCAAACGCCACCTTAATTTTTTACTCAATAGATCACAAATCTAAAACATAAATTTACTAAAAATCTTAACATCCCATATCTATTCTAACTAAAAACCCTAAAAATCTTAAAGGATTAAACCATAAATCAAATCTCAATCACCAATTTGACATCAGATAGCTTAGAAACAGAGGTAAATCATTTGTTCTTTCTATTTTTTGTTTGATTTCGTGTTTAGTTTCGTAAAATTTAAGATTTTAAATTTTTGAGTGTGATTCGAACATTCCGAAAATGAATTTCTAAAAATAATTGAAGGTTTTTGAAAATAAATGTTCGAAATTGTTCAAGATTTTTTGAAATTTCATTTTTAAAATCCCTTACAGACTTTTGAACATCTATTTTCGAAAACTTTTAAAAATTTTCAGAAGTAGATTTTTAAAATTTCTTAATGGTTTCTAGACATCCATTTTCAGAAACCTTTAAAAACTTTCAAAAATGGAATTTGGGTACATTGAAAATGTTTGTGGAAGCCATTGCTCCTGGCATAATAACTTGGCACAGTAAGAAACATTGACCTTAATAATATCATCAGCAGACTGACAAATCCAACAATAGGGACCTCTAATCTTTTGGTCACTTTATTGAACAGACAGTGCTTGGTTGAAAGATTAGAGGTCTCTATTACTAGATTTAAACAGCTTATACCTTAGAGAAACTATTAGAGACCCATTTGGAGATCCTAATAAGGGACATCAATATTCTTGTGTTGGACACAAATTAAAAGATTGAATTTTACTTTCTCGTACATAATGCAACAAATAAACAAAAGTAAAAGATTATTTTTGGAATTGCATTTTCAGAAAAATTGTATTACTTTTCGAAAATGCATTTTCAATACATTGAAGAAGTTTTGAAAATAAATTTTAGGTAACTTTTGTTCAATTCCAAAAATCAATTTTCGGTGAATAATTGCTTTTTCGAAAATAAATTTTTAAAACTTATTGAGAAAAAAAAAAGGGTGTGAAGGACAAAAAGGTAATTGATTAATGGGTATTTAAGTAATTTTATTAAAAGTTAATTTTGTAATAAAAATTTTAAAGTGTATCGAGTAGTTTTTAGGTTTCAAATAGAAGTATTTTTCAAATTATAACTACAATTTCCAATCAACTTTTGTAGTTGACACATTTTTACTGTATAAAAATGCTTTTAATATAATAATATTGTATTTAGCATTGCATTTGCTAAACCATAATGTGTTTAACATTGTCTGTCTAATATTACATTTGTGTTCAAAAATACTTTGAATACATGATTAAAAGTACTTTTAATGTAAATTATAGTGTGCTTAGCATTCTGTTTGCAATTAAAAGCTACATTTTGAAATTTAAACGTAACACTAAACAAGGTCTTAGTCAAATTAAAGAAAAAGAAAAAGATGTATGAAAATTTTAGTTACCAATTCCGTAATTTATCTAAAATTAGATACTTATAATTCATAATAAACTATTATCCTTTTTATAAATTGTGATATGCTTATATAATATTCTAAAGACATCTATCAATATATTAACTTTATTTACAGATTGCTGCTATTATTTATCAATAATAAAAACGATAAGTATAAAATGTTTATCAATAATATAAACATATAAAATCAAATTATCAATACCTGCACAAAATGATAATTATTAACAAATCCAATTGTAATGACCTAGTGCTCTAATGGTATAGGTGGTACAACTCTAATAAAAAAATATGTCAAGCACTATCTTAAACCGATGTTGACTAACATAACGTTATATCGTGAGATAATCAAATAACCAATATCAAGTAAGGTTATCCACTTATAGGGGCACAAGTGTTGAAACGCAATAATGTTTCTAACGATTGCTCCACATGCTCTATGGATTCATACAAAATCACATATTCGTATTAATACTGATTAAAATTATCAATTAAATCTTATCACACATATACCCAAGCAAAATCATCAATTAATTCATCTAATCCTAATCCAAGCAACTCGCAATAGATTGAAAGCTATAATGTTAATCTGCCTCAACATCAATGATACTATGTAAATATGGATGTAACTCTACTGGTAAGCTATCTAGATATCGTATTTTCTGTTTATCATTAGGATTCTAAACATGAAGTTTACTGATTTGTGTTATCACTTTCACTAAGTTCGTAATGGTTGGTAGTGATGTTTTGTCATGAGCAAATAACACAATCTTCTAATGTGATGGGTTACACCGTGTTATGATGTTCATTGTATATAGTCTTTATATTGTTGACATTATTCTCATCATGTTATTTTAAAATCAACAATATATTTCTAAGTTTGACCATACGATTTGATATATCAACACTATTTTTTCCTTTTTTAGATAATTACCCTCTAAATGAATGTCCCTCTAATTGTTTTACTGGTAAATGATTGTGAAATCTATAGACTACTTTCATACCCCATTTATCATCCATTGCCAACTTAATTTCATATAACTCAAATGGACAATTACACTTTTTCATTCTCATTCCCTTACATTGTATTTTTTCTACTTTGACCTTATTCTTTAATTGCTTGTATTTTTTACTTCGTTTACATGCCAATCTTATTATTGGTTTTCTCATTGGACCTCTCAAATAAGAGTTTTTAATCACAATTACAAAACCATTTTCTTTTACAACCTATCTAGCTCATGAAATTAAAATTTCTATACTACAAAACATCCACACAATATATTTAACTTATTACTCTTTGCATTTATATAAATTAACATGTTATGCCTTCGTAGCAAACTAACTTGAAAATCCTAGTCTTACCTTTTCAATAGTAAATGAGGAACTATAATCATATTTCATATCTAAATTTTCTAGTGATTGATTGCACTCTATTAGTGCGGTTTTCAAATTGGTTAGAATATTACAAGATGTTAAAACATTTAATAATAAAATATTATTAAAAAATTTTAGTGTTTACAAGAACAAATTTTGTATTTTTGGTATGCATATTTGGTCAATCATATTGAATTATCGAACATGCTTTTCTAGTGATCAAATATGATTTTTGGATTTACATAGTCGCCAATCATAAATGATTACTAAAAATACATATATGATAATTCAATATGATTTTCTAATATGCATATCTAGTAACGTTATTATGTTTTTAGATATGTATATCCGTAAATCATATGAATTATTGGATATGCATTTCTATAACATTAAAAAAGTACCAAATATGCATATCTAATACTACAATATTAATTTCGGATATCCATTCAATAAGAATCAAAATTTCAATTGAAACTGAGTTCTAAATGACTTATCTCAAGCTGCTCTTCATCCCTTTTATCCTTCCAACTTTGTATCTCATTTAGCTATACATTTTCGCAAGATTTACTAATTGTCTAACAGATTTTATGGTTTCACTGTTATTCAGTTTAGAGTTTTGATGGTAGGAAAAAGAAAAAAAAAAGAATGAGAAAAATAGAAGAAAATAAGGCTCTGTTTGTTTTGTGAAAAATTATTTTCGTATTTTTAAGTGTTTGTTTGACAGAAAATTGATTAGTCAATGAAAAATGATTTAATAGTCAATGGAAAATAAGGCTATTTATTAAAATTATCTTATGAATTTGAAAGGGGAAAACATTTTTTGGAAAAGAATTGTCTATGAATAAAACTATTTATCAATACTTTTAAGCATAATTTTACTTATAAATAATATTATATTAATAAATAAATAATATATTAATATGTTAATAAATAATATTATAATATATTATTAAATAATATAAAGAATAATAAATAGTTTTATTTTAAGTATTTTTTATATTAACATAATATTTTAATATTAAATATTATTATTAAAATATAATTATGTTTGAATATTAATAATAAATAATTTTTAATATTTTAAAAGTTATATTAATATTATTTGAAAAAAATGATTTTCTAGAAAACAACTAAATAATGAAAAATTTTTCATTAACTCATCCAAACAACAACAAAAAATCTCTTTCAATTCAAAAAATGTAAACATTTTTTAAAAATTATTTTTCACCAAACAAACGGAGCCTAATCCAAAAAAAAGGAGTAACTAGGTTAAATTTGTCATTTATTGAAGGATAAATATGTCATTTCACTTAAGAGTATTTTTGCTTGTCACATTTTTTTTTTATTTTTTTAAATAAAATGACTTAATAACCTTTTCTTATAAGTTTTTAGAGATTTATATCCGGTAAATTTTATAATTTATTAGAAATAAATTTTTAAAAAATTATATAACTTATCGAAAATTGATTTAAAAGAATGAGGGAATGAAATTTTAAGAAAATTATAAAAAAATTATTAGAAAATTTTATTAATTTGTGTAATGAAAAAAATTATTATTGAAAAAATTATAAATTTTAAAATTTTAAAAAATTGATTTTATTATTTTAATCAGAATAAAATTTTATGAAACCTTAATTAAATATTTTAATATTTCAATATTATAAGAAATTATAAAAAAATTATCAAATCTGATCAATATCCGAAAGCTTAAACTTTTTTAAATTATATAAATAATGTTACTAAATATTTAATAAATTTATCAAAATCTAGTATACGGAATAAAAAAAATATATCGTGATATGCTAACTAAAAAAAATTATATCGTGATAAAAAAATAAAGAAAATTTTCAAAAAGTTCAGCTTAGTTATATATAAAAAAAAAAAACCATATTTCTAATTTTTAGAAAGAAAAAAAAAAGAGAAAAGAACTCAGTGTTTGGTTTGACCCACATCCACGCACTTACCGGATTCTGAATTTACGCGGCATTTAATTTTCCTTCTAATAACATTATTTTTTTTCTTATATTCTAATTCACCCCCTTCTTCGAGGTAAAAAGAATAAACTTCCTTATTATTTTTCTTTTTTTTAATCCTAAATTTACCTGTTAATTATGATTAATTTGTGTAATTTATTTGGCAGGAAATCTGACTCTCAGTTCGATTGCTTGTCAAAGAATTGGATTCAGTTCCTTGTTGAAGGAGGGGAAATCTGGTATTTCTATGATTCAATCCTATTGGGTTTTTGTTTCGATCTTATCTATGTTCGTCAATCGTATTTAGAATTATCGTATCTAAGAAAATTCATGTTCTTTCTGTAAAGTTGGTTTCAAATAAAAATTAGGGTATCATCCCCTATCCCGCTATAACTTTTATTAGTTAGGATTAATTTGGGGATTTTGGAAAAGAGAATTGTTAATTATTCTGAAATGTTGCTAACTATCTGATTAAAAGGGCAAAAGGGAAAAAAAACATTGTTTTAAGGGAAACAGTTGTTAAAAGAGGATTTTGCACCTGTTTTAATGTTTTTTCTTTCTCAAAATTTGGAATTTTGAATTCTTAATCTCGGTTGTTGTTCTATTGTGAATGTTGACGCATATGATTTCAGTATATCTAAGATTGTACTTTGAAATAGCATTCTTATTAAGTTGCCATTGAATGCTTGTTGTTGAAGGAGTCTTGCGCCTTCTTTTGGTCAGATTTTTGTTGCTATTGGATATGCTTTCACTGGTAATTTTGGTAGTTTTGAATGTTATGGATATTGACCTCTTGAGATTGACTGGATTGGATTAATGGATGAGATTTTACTACCATCTGCTTGATATTGAATCTCAAAACCAATATTAGCAATTGTAAATAATTATTGATGTTTTAATGAGATTTTGGACTAGTACCTTTATTATGGTCCTTTTCAGTGCTTGCAGATATGCAGAGCCAGCTTGTCTGTAGTGGGTGTAGGAGCATTCTTCTTTATCCTAGAGGGGCTACAAATGTCTGCTGCGCATTATGCACTACAATTACCCAATCCCCTCCCCCTGGTACACTTGATTTGTAATTATTTTTAATTGCAAATACAAAACCATTGATTAGTTTTGTGAAGTTGTGAACGTATTCCAATTGCTCTTGTTTTTCTGCATGCGTAAGCAATTGCTAGTCTTCAGTATTGTCATCATGATTATTATTAGTTGAAACTCAAAAGAGATCTAATTCATACAGTTGGTAAACTTTTCTTATGTTCTAAATGGTTTTATCTATGATCTGTTAGTAGCATCAAGAACTAATTCCAGTAAAAAAGAATACCTGGGCCTAGTGGATTCCTTTTTACCCTTTAATTTTTGACCTAGTGGATTCCTATGCATTACACCTTGCTTCCTTGAACAGTCCTTGTTGAAACTACTTGTACCTCTTCATTAACTAAATGGTGACATGGGTTATCCTGACCATGGTTCATCAAATCAACCCAGTGTAGAAAGCAATTTAATCCCAAAACATACGCTTCACTATTGTTCACAGAATTCTTCTGATCCTAGTACTCCATGCATTGATGATTCAGATCTAGAGCCTCGATTCTGAATCATGGGCACTGAGAGAAACCCAAATATTTCAATCCCTTTAATGGTCCACGGAGACAGCTAAAGGAGCAGCCTCTTTCCCCTAGATTTGTCTGCCCTAGTATTTCTTGATTTTGTTGCTGCAGCACCATTTCCCTGCCTTGACTGTCAACAGGGTTTCACTTTGGCATTCTTCTAAAGTGAGCTTAGATAGAGACCCCGCAGTCCCTTTTTATAGTTGTGCAAAAAACTTATTTGAAAATTTTTGCTGAATTTGCCACCTTGCCTAAACATTGGTAATTGGTTTTATAACAGATTGTGGGCCTAAATGCTGAAATGAGCATTGAATTGAGTGGTACAACTGATGGAGCTGGATTTTTTGGTCCTTATGATGGATTTGGTCTGTCATTAGCTACACATGGCAGATACATTACAAGTTTGCTTTAATGCAATTTATCAATGTAGTAAGCCACAAACATCATCCATACCTTTTGTTCTGTTTTGAGCTAATATTGCCTAACCTATAAGTTGAAATATGTTTGGTATTATCACCGATCTGTCTGTTTGAAAGCTGAGAATGCCTCAATGCTCGCTTATTCACTCTCCCAAATCCTATAAACCTTCAGAGTCATGCAATTCTTGATTCTGCTCTCTGCCTTTGTTCATGATCCATTGTACAGTCACCAATTTTGTGGAATTGTCAATGTGTTTGATTCCTTCCATGATTCTTTGGGACTTTTTGAGTTTCTCTTGTCACTTTATGTTGTAGGAAGCAACCATGTGATCAAGATCTAATTTATAAGGTATTGTTTGATTTTTACTTTTGCTATTTCCTTTTTGCTTTTGAAAGATAAAAAACAAGAGCATATTTTGATACAAAAGCAGACAATAATTTGAAGAAATAAATGCTACCATGGAGTTAACAAAATGCATGATTTTACTTTTATATGGACTAAAAATGCTTCGCTGTTACATATTAAACGACCTAACATACAATATACATCAGCTTGATGTACTTGAGAAATTTGACTTGTTACCTTTTGAAGGAAATGTTGGCTCAGCTAAACTCCATTCAACTTGATAATAAAACACAGTGAAATCAAACTCAAGACAATCTGTTAGTGAGAACTTACTGCTATTTGTTTTAGAGATTTTGATGTTATGCTCTTGTCTGATTGTTGAATGTATTTTTAATTATGGATAAGTTCTTTTAATTGTAGATTTTCATTCTTTTATAGTTACTTCTTTTTGTGAACCTGATTGTGTATAGCTAGATAACAACTGAGTTCAAATTATACAAGCATTCCAAACAATCTCAAACACTTTTTATGCTCGCTAAACCGTGCTCCATTGGAATCACTGGAAGTATAACCCCATCTTGTCCAGCTGCTTAAATCTACTATTCAACTTGGCTTGATTGTAGCCTGCCCCTGTCAAGGTTGTTACTTGCAATATTTGTGCATCTTGGCAACATTAACTTTCTTTTATCTGGTACTTGGATATCAATGTGCGACTGGATTTTGGACCATAATATCTTTAAGTTTTAGTTATTAGAGCACCTTGGCAAGATTAGTAATGGCTTTCATTAATTGCAGGGTTGATTGTCTGCCAACTAGAATGGTAACAGACATCTGATTGCAATGCCACTCTATTGTATATTTAGATGAGTTTTCTTTTTCTTTTTCCTTTCTCATGTTGGTTTCCTTGTTGATATCTAGTTTGAAACTGTCTGGTAATGCTAATAATGGTTGTGTTGTTATTTAGAGTGTTCTACGGAAACAAGAGATATAATTTAAGGCGAAAGAAACAATAATGTGGAGTGGCCTGTAACATTCCTCTTATTTAGATATGTAAATAATTTAAATATCTGATAAGAATCTTATGGCATTTTAACCAAAGTTTGTAAATTAACCCTGCAGGGATGGAAATGGCTTGACTCATATGTGGAGATTGTCGAACATTGCTAATGTACACACGTGGAGCAACAAGTGTAAGATGCTCTTGCTGTCACACTATTAACCTTGCACCAGGTACAATATAATGAGTCTATGCATGTGATGTAAATTTTTCGTTGCAATGTTTGGAATTGCAGAACTGTTGGAATTAAAGAAGAATGGAAAATCATTTTTGGTCTTTGAGGAAAATTTATTGCGTGGATTGAATCTTTGTTTCTTACTTCAACTTTTTCTGCACTGAAAACAAGTTTAAGGAGTGTGGTTAAGTTTTCTGAAAAAAAAAAAAAAGGTATTGTTTTCTGTTTGCTGATTATTGCTTCTCCGTTCCATATTTTGTTTTCAAGTGTCACAATGCATTCCTCATGGATACCTTTCCTTAAAAAAAAGGTAGTGTGTTCTGTTTGCTGTTTATTGCTTCTTTGTTCCGTATTTTGTTTTCAAGTGTCACAATGCATTCCTCATGGAAGTCTTTCCTTACCATTGTATTCTTCATTGTCATTGTCAGTCATCTTCTTTTAGAAGCAGTCTGAGCTATTTTGACTAGTTAAAGATCTTATTATGCTTCTAAACTTTGTCTGCTAAGTGAATAATGGCTGTTCTGATCAAATTAAGAACACTTCTTTTTCATCTTTTAGCATGCACTTGCAGTTTTGTGTGGCTGTAGCTCTTCTTTTTCGAGTTGTCGCATGCACTTTCTGCCTGTGTTTATGGTTGTTAATCAGAGCTTTGTTGCAGCAATTTAAGCTATTTCAGTAACTAAATGATCTTAAATATACTTCTTTACTGAAAGCAGCTTGATCATTTCAGACTCTAGCTCTGTTAAAAATTTTTGAAGTGGAAGGTTTTTTTTTTTAAAGAATTTCTGCCTAGCAGTTAATTAAGTTTTGAAGTTTTAAGAACCAAATCAACCATTCTCCCTTTGTTGATTATGATACTTAAGATGGTTTTTTCATGAAGTTATATACCTCTACTATGAACTTTGGGTAGTGAATACAAATCATACAGTATTTTCTTCTTTGGTTCCTCAATCAACTTTTAACCATTGCATTTCTGGAGGTTGCCTTGGAGTACTGTTAGTAGTTTATTCTATATGTTGGTTCATTTTCCTTCCTCCTCTCTTTCAATTTCATGGTCCCCAGTTTGCTTACTGATTTTTTTCTTTCTTGGATCTCATTACCATGAAAAAAGCATCCAACCAGGTTGCTCACATCAATTGTGGACACTGCCATATAACATTAATGTATCCATATGGAGCTCCATCAGTTAAATGTGCTGTCTGTCAATAAGTTACTAATGCTGGTGTAAGTATGATGAATTGATACAACTTTTCATTAGTGCTACTATTAAGATTTGCAGACTTAATTTGCTTGATGGTAGTCATTCTTTTTCCTCGTATCTTGTTGCTTGTTTTCTGATATACTAAGTCACATGATAAAAAGTTTCAGTTTTCAAAATCTTTAAATTCTTTAGCAATATTTCTGTAGGTATTTGGTCCGTTTGTAAATGTCTTCATTTATTTGGTTTGTTCGAGGTTGCTGCAAGCTTCTTTCTGTTCTGATGTACAGAACATAATTATTTTTTCTTGTTTTTGTGTCTTCTGTCTATGCCTTCTCTCTCTTCTCTCTCTAAGAGAATTGAACTTCGGGGCAATATATCTCAAACTTGGTCTTACTTCCCAGCTTAACTAGTAGCAGTTGGTAGATTCAGGGCTGGATCAGTTTTAGCGGCAATCGGATCAGGTTCCTTTCCTGAAACAGGCTTTGGGGTGAATTTAGGTGTTGGGTCTCTTAGGCAAATTTAGGAATGGATAGGGCAATTTTTGTTGGTACCCCTTTCATTGCCACCCTGTTAATGGCCATTTACTTCTCAAATATGCAGAATTTGCAAATCCCTTCAGCCTGCTGAATATTTTTATTTATTTATTTATTTTTACAAACCGATATTTTAAACATATTAATATTTTCAAGAAATTGAATGCCCCTGGAGTAATATTCATATATTCTTAGAAAGCTTTGTCTTTGCTATTTCCCTTTGGAAGTGAATTAAATTATATTTAATCATAAGGATAAGTATTTATTCTTTGCTTATGTCCATGCAATAAATATTTTTGAGCACCTTTATGAGATACTGTTTATACATTTTTGTCTAGAGAAAATCTATTTAGTGCTTTACCTATTCTCACTCTCTATTTCTCATCTATCTTTCAGATGGGGAGGTTTTCACTTCCCGTAAACAGACCTATTGGGTTAACTGCAGCAGGGACTATGCCATCTACTTCAACAGTAAGTTCTTGAAGTTTGTTATTGTTTTCTATAATGAGAAAATATAGATGGTTTTGAATTATTAACTGTTTACTGAATCTAACATTTTGCATCTAATGCCTCGTTCTTAGAGCCAATCAGTTGTAGTTGAGAACCCTATGTCTGTTGATGAGAGTGGCAAATTGGTAAGCGTTTTGGCTTTAACTGCATATCTTTATTATTTGTGCTTTTCATTTTCTTTAGCTTTTATAAAAGTTGAAAAGGGGTTGGAGGAGGAAAAAATTGCTGATAAAATTGTGATATTGCAGGTGAGCAATGTCATGGTTGGTGTAACAACCGGCAAAAGTTGATCCAATGAGATCTTTTAGTTTGGCTGGTCTTTGTTTGAGGAGAATGTAAACAAACATTGGTTATAATTGCCAGAAAATTGGTTTTGTACGTTATGATGAAAATGGAAATTCCATTAGCACTAACATTTAATGAATTGTTTCTGTGTCCATGTCCATGATGAGGTAGGGAAAATGTGTGATGTACATTTTGTGTCTTAGAAAGATGGAAATTGTCATTTATATGATTTGAGAAAGTGAAATAATGTTTGCTCCATTTGCAGTTTAGCTTAGTGAATATGTTTATCTCCTAACATATTTTCTCTGCTTCTATTCAACCTCTCTTCCCTTAACTATATGCCTTTTTATGTATATATATATGTTGGCGAGTTTGTCTCACTTGAAGTTGCACTTTAAGGTAAATCTGAGATTTCTATTATAAAAACAAGAAGAAAGGCTTAAACCATATTCAAGTATAGGAGCAAATTAAAGAATAAGGCTAAAGTATTGGTTTCCGATAAAGTTATTTTTTTTAAATTGTGATTGGTTAATTGTAATACAACGATTGTAGGTGATATATTATTGAATTATATGCTATCTTTTGCCCTACTTGTAGAAATATAGGTAAAAAAAAAATGGCTATAATCAAATTGCAACAAAATGCAAACATCAAGTTTAAGGTGACTAAAGCTTCTTTAACAAAGAAAAAGTTACTAGAGTTTTAGTTTCTTGCTATGCTTGGCTTGGGGAGGTTGAATTAAACACTACCCTTACATGTAAGCCACAATTTTTATCCTCATCAATGTTGCAATCCATACAGGTGCAACTTAACATTATTATAAAAACAGAAGCAGTACCATACCGTTCTAATTCCTTCACCATTCATACAAAACCACAGGACAAGTGACAAATGAAAGTAAAAGCGACAAACAGTTGACAAAAAGTAACAGCAAAGCAACAAACAGTTGAACAAACGTATAAAAAGATCATAGCATTTCAGATTTGAAGTTTGGTGTTTGAGTTTGAGCTTTTAGGCTTGAGGTTCTAGGTTTTTTTTTTTTTTTAATAAGTTTTTTGGTTGATTAGGAGGTAGAGGTGGTAGTTCTAAGAGGATTTTCAGAAAGGCAAGTTCGGAAGAGTTGAAAATAATGCGTAGGATACTCCGCAGCGAGGCACGAAGTGCTGATTGGAGAGTGGCATATGAAACATATTGACACAGAAGATCCATAGAACATATGTGTATAAGCATAGGGAAATAGAAATTAAGCAAAATTCTGATTCTTCTTCATTCACACAACACAATGAATACAATATTATCTCATTTCTCACTAGCACTCAGCAGTTGTTTGTTATCTCGAAACAACAGAATTAAGCAACCCATCAGAGGCCAAGAGGAATCCCATAAATCTTTATGCCCCAAACCACCCAAGGAATCAGCAACAAAACAAAAGCAAACTCCCTATTCAAGCAACCAGCATCCGACCTCCGCCTATCACCCTTCACCTCCCCCACCGGCTCAAACATTGGAGGTGGCGGCGGTGGCGGTGGGGCAATGCCATGGACAAGGCCAGCATCACCACCGTAGACAGTGTAGTTGAGGAGTGCGGCAATGCCGTGGACAGCAATGGCTGATGTGAGGTAAAGATCGGGGTAGGAAATCCGCGAGGCATCAAGAGTGAAGTTGGAGAGGGACCTGTTGGTTATGAGGATGGATTTGGAAGGAAGCAAAGTAGGCAACCGAGAGAAAGGCTTGAAGAGGGTGAGTTGTGAGAAAGTGAGGCGTTGCGGAACAATGTGGTAAGGGACGACAAAAGGGTCAAAGGAGGCGGCGGTGGTGGAGGAAGTTGGGACTGGGAATGGGAAGAAAGAATCATCAGAAGGGACAAAAAGGGTAGCTGAAAGTGGAAGCATGAGGAGGTCGTAGGCCGAAAGCATGTTTGCCCAGTTGTTGAAGTCGCCAGCTCCAATGAGAGCGTCGATTATGTTGTTAAGTTGATGCTGATGTAGCGGAGAAGGTGGTGGTGGAAGAGGCCGCCGATGGTGGTGTTCGGCAGCAAAAGCAGAAATGGAAAAGAGAAAGAGGAGAAAGAAGAGAGGGTATTTAGTCATGACTCATGAGAGAAAGAAAGACACAGGGAGTGGTTTTGGTTTTTGTGATAAACGAAGATTATGGTATCCAATACTAACTGACTCCCTCACTCATAACTAACTCTTCCCGCCAAAACTCCTATGCTGGAGTGGCATTATTGTAATTATGAGATTATGATGGGGCCCGCTTGCTTCCATATTCCTAACAGCATTTTGAATACCATACACAATACACTCCACTCTCCTTTGATTTCAGTTTTTTTTTTTTCAACTAATTATTGTATATAATTAATATCATAATTGGCCTTTGTATTTTAAGAAAATATTTTAATGTGATACCTCTATTTTTAAAATATATAATATGATATCTATACAATTATTTTGTATGTCAATTCAATACTTGAAATTAGCCTAAGCCAAGTTGAATCCACCTCAAAGGAGCAATGGATTCGACCTAATTTAAAACAATTTTGACTTGTTTTAGGCTGTTACCAATATAAATATAACACAAAGGAATTTAAAATTTTTCAATTTTCAAAACTAAGGATCATAACTTGATATCATTGAATTCAAACATACAAGGCAATTAGCAATGAAAAAAATTGTTTTACACAAATTCACCAAGAGCATCAAGTTAGATTGTAGCAAACTATCAACTGTCTAAGTATCTAGTGTATAATAATAGTCCACACCAATAAGAGTGATGACAAGAAGCTTGCCAATTTCCATATATGTTAGTAGAAATATTGATTGCCTTTATGGTTTTCTAGATTTTGCTTGACTCATGAGATTGAATGAATTGTATAAGGAAAGTGGTGGTCAAGCCTTTTTAAGTGGAGGAACTGTTGATCTAAGCTTACTCAAAATAGGTCTTGGATCTTTTACTATTTTCCTTAGAATTTTAATTTATTTAATTTAATTATATATTCAAGTTTCTAATTTCTTTTAATTAGGTAAGACTTAATGTTACCCAATTTAATTTTTTACAAGTCACATCTTTTATTTGTGTGATCCGTTAAATTTTTTAACATGTTAATAATAAATATAAGGATTGTAATTCTCAATTGATTTGGATTAGATGAATCAAGCCATTTGAGTTCATCATTAATTCTTCAATTAATCAATTTTATATTTATAGATTATGATTGTAATCTAATAATGAGTCAAGATCATAGTTGTTAATTTCGTTTTGATACTGATCGTATCGGTCGGTATGTTACAGTTATACCAAAATATAATACACTTAAAGATGAATTTTCATAATGAATTTAGTATCGAGTAATACCGGTTGTTCTTGTTAATTTTAGCCTATTTTGATAAATTTTGGTAGAATAACATATTTCGGTTGGTACGTAAATGTAAAATATATTTTTATAATATTTAACTTATTTTTTGTTATTTAATTATTTTTAACCTAATAAAAATAAAATTAATTGATAAAATAACCCTTAAAAATTGAATTTCTTTATCTTTTAAAATTTTTTTATATTTTATTTTTTCAAATTTAAATTTATAAGTATTTCAATTTTTTTCAAGAAAGCAATTATACTCTTTTATAAAGTTTAACAATTATAAAGTTTCGGTTAATTTTTTTCATTTATTTGTTTTTATCTTAATATTTATATGAAAAAAATACTTATTTAAATATCATATGATTAGATAATTATTTAAAAATATAATGAAAATTATATGATATTATTTTTTGTACTTTTAAATTTATTTATTTGATTTTTGAATATATTGCATATTTATTTTGTATATTATTAATAATATTATAATGTGTAAGTTTATGAATATTTATAAATATATTTGTATTAAATTAAAAAATCTGAAATAATATATCGAAATAACTGATATTGATAAATATTATATTTTTTTAAAAATTGAAACGTTATTTAGTACGATATTAACGATCTTGGTTAATACCACTTAATTGTTAAGAAAAACCAATAAAATTTGATCAATCTACTTGTGTTTAGTTAATTTTTTAATATAATTATTATCTTTTTTCATTACTTAATATCTCAATTTAATATTTAGTTTGAATTAATGTCTACCCAATTAGTTTAACCCATTTAAGTTTGGAGTTGAACAATTAACTTCCTTGAATAAGCATATTACAACTTTTTATAAATTATTGTAATTTCCTTCTTAAGCATATATATTTTATGAGTTTTATCTAAAAAGTAAATAATATAAAATAATATACTAACTTGAATGTAAAGAATATCTTAGCCAATGAAAGTAATATTTATCATCAAGTGGTTGGTTCAATCGGTTAGACTCGTCCTCTTCGACGAAGAGATCTTGGGTTTGACTTCTATCGGTGGTCACTTGTTAGAATCATTTTGAATGCATAACTTACAGTCACTTATTTTAAACTGTCAGGTACATCACATCTTATTCTAATATAGAGAACTGAGTAATCTATCTATTTTCGAATTTTTTTATAAAAAAATAATATTTAACATGATATACATCAAAGAACTAATTCAATTAATTTTAGGGCATACTTCTCAAATGGGCATATTTCCTATTGAGTGAGAGAGAGAGAGAGAGAGAGAGAGAGAGAGAGAGAGAGAGAGAGAGAGAGAGAGAGAGAGAGAGAGAGAGAGAGAGAGAGAGAGAGAGAGAGATAAAAATAAAAACTTTTTAAATTTTGTTTTTAAAAAATAAAAATGTAATTTTTTTTAAAAAATATTCTTTTCAAAAATAGAAAATAATTTTTTAGATATTTTAAAAATTTCAAACAATGAAATTTAAAATGATGAGAAATTAAGGAAAAAGAAAAATTTTTTAAATTTGTAAAATCTTAAAAAATAAAATTATACTCAATTTAAGTTTGGATAGTTTTGGAGTTAATTTTTTGAGTATTCAAATTTAATTTCTTTCCCCCAAGTCAGCTTTATGAGTTGTGTAATTGGATATCCTGATCTTACTTACTCGGGTCGGGTGGCATAGGTATCCAATTATAAGATACGAATCGCAAAATGCTATCTCTGACTTTCACTCAGGGCTGAGCTGCACCGTCACAGACCCAAACCAATCCGGCTTAAGCTTTACTCTCTCATTTCTTTAGTTTCCGTTCTCAACAGCTTTTAAAAGAAGATGCAGGTAACTCTTCCCAATCAAAACCCTAATTTCCCTTCTTGATTAATAAAAAGATCGATTCATAATCTCCCCTAAACTCTAAACCCTAAACTTGTTTATATGTTTACCTCTTACTCTTTGATAATTGTTGTCAGGCAAGCGATAGGTTTAACATCAATTCCCAGCTCGAACATCTCCAAGCTAAATACGTTGGAACCGGCCATGCTGATTTGAATAGATTGTCAGTTTCTAACCCATTTTTTTTTCCTTCTAATTTCTGTAAAAGAAATGTTGCTAAGACATATATTTTGGTTGGTTGAATTTGATGGCAGTGAATGGGCGGTGAATATTCAACGCGATAGCTACGCATCGTATGTAGGGCATTATCCAATGTTGGCTTACTTTGCTGTGGCTGAAAATGAATCCATTGGCAGAGAACGCTACAACTTCATGCAGGTTAAGCATATATTGGCTCTTTTTGTTTGGTATTTTTTGAATTTATGAGATTAATGATTCTTTCCTTTGTGTCTATTTGTTTCTGGGTTTGGAAATTCACGGGATATAGAGGTATGGGTGCTTTTTAGTTATTGGGATTGACTAAACAAAATGGTTTTTTTTTTTTTTTTTTGTTCCAAAAGACTAATAGCTTTTACGACTTTAAAGAGATTTATTTGGTTAAATCTGTAAGTTCTCCAAGGATGGGGTAAATGGGTTGAAGATTTGCCTTACGTGGAACTAAATTATAGGACTTCATTCTTGTTGTTGAGTGCAAATAGTTGGGATGGTGTTTCGTTGAGTTTCTTTTTTAGTGTTTTCTGGGGTAGTTCCATTTCTAACCGGTATGCTTAGAGGAGATTTCACATCTTGAAATGCACACCACGTTGCCTTTCACTAGTTACCCTTACAAACGAACATTACTAGGTACATCCTATGCCGTAGACGGGATTCTTCGATGCATTCTGGAGTTACTAATGGCTGTTCTGAGTGGTATCCTCAAAATTTGCATTTATCAAGTGTGCCGAGTAATTAGCCCCTTTTGGGTATTGGTCCTGAGCTCCTGCCATTCCCTATTAGTTGTAGGGATGGTTCTAATTTATATAGTTTTTACTAAATGATGAACTAAAATTCAACATCTCGGTTTGATAAAGGAGTTTCGTTCTATTTGTTATGTTTAGTGACATTACATACAGTATGAGAGCAAAGTCTTCTCTCTCTTTTAATGTGCGTTTGTGCATGTGCAGAACCGCAAGTTCTCCATTAGTACTTCTTCTAAGATACGGACTTTATTTTTTCTTGATGTCATAGATGAATATTGTATTGTTAGAGGTTGCGTGGTGCGGATGGCTTGACGGCCTTCTTCTTCTTCTTCTTTTTTTTTTTTTCCTTTTCTGGTTTGAACTTTAGTTTAAGGTATAATTGGTTGTGATCTTTATGTACAGAAAATGCTTCTGCCTTGTGGTCTGCCTCCGGAAAGAGAAGATGATTAAAAACTGCTGCTTGGGATATGACGTGAAATGTTAGGAAGTCCAAGCTCTTCCGAGCTTTTCCGATGAGGCTGGGGAGTTTCCTAATTGAATATCCATAGATATTGTGTTTGTCTTGAAGTATGAAGTTACGTAATCACAGATTTTGGTGAACAATGACCTAACATTGTAGCCTCTATTTTATCCCCTAAACAAACTGCGTCTGTTTCTTGCATTGCATCTCAGTTTACTACGTTCTAAGTAACAGATGTACCTATGGAAAGCGTAGCATGAAAGTAAGAAAGATCGAGTCAAACTATGGGAAGAGGCATTGCAAACCAATAATTCATCAGTTTCTTTCAGATGGATGTGATTAAAAAAAAAGAGGGCATCATGACATGAATAGGTAGAGTCTCCCTCCCATAATAATAGCTGTTTACAAGATGAAAACATCATTTAAGTTTGCAAAAAACCACATATTTAAACCAAAGAAGTTTCTATGTATGTGCACGCAAAGATCCATTATGCAAACAGTGAGACAATTCTCATTCATGTGAGGTCATTTTCATCCGGTGCTTCTTCATCTTTACCAGCATCAGTCTTAAACGCGCCAACATCACCAGAAGGCAGCTTTCTTGCAAGCTCTATGGTCTGCATCCAATTTCATTTCAGTCATGTGTGAAATTCAATGAATTGCAAGTCAGAAGACCCTCTTAACCACAATGTAAGGATTCTACTTTGCAAATAAATAATAGCGGAGGAAAAATGTTCAGCCGGGTCTTTATCCGTCTTGGTTGCATAAAAGAACAACTGATATTCACACATGTGAGTTGAGACACAAAGATGTGTTGAGTCCAACATCACATACAGTGCCAGGTTGTCTGAAAAAGTTAAAGCCTATATTCTGGCATAGATATAAGAATAAGACACTCAATCTGAATCTGATAGACAAGTGAAACATCATTATAAACCTTTTGGGTGCGTGAAGAACACAATGATGTCAAGGAGAAAAAAAATTTTTGAATGAAACAAACAGGACTCTTTGCAACAGTTTCATTGGCACTGCATGCCTATTTCTAAAAGAGTTGCTCAAAATAAGATCCAACAGTCACCCACAAGCACATTTAGGTCATTTAAGATAAGGCCAAAGTTATAAATGTTATTCAATTCTTGGCATTAGAGGTTTTAAGTATCACCAAAGACGCACAGTTTTAGGCATGTTAGAACCATCCATGATTGCATAAATCAGATCTATCTTAGATATGTGATTTAACCCACTGTAGCATTCAGAAGATGAATGTCCTAACAATATCATTCACACAAAAGAGGAACATGCATTTCCAAAAACAAAGGTGCAAATAGTAAAAAAGATTTACCACATTGTCAAGATTGGAAATAGTACTCGACTAAGCTACACGTTTGATTTCTTCTACATCACCTTCTGTACAAGCAGAAAGAAGTTTACTAGCACAGCGGTTCTCATCACTTCTTAAGAAAGCATCAATTCTGAAAAGAACCAAAGACAATACTATTTTAGATCACCTTTTGTCAACAGAAAAGTTATTATACGGTATAAAGATAGACCCCAAAAAATCATGGAGAATATTGTTCATTTCTAGATGCCTTCTACTGCAGCATTAATCTTAAGGAATATGTAACAGGTGTTCTATTACATGGTAGGGGAGACAAAATCTGCATTAAAAAGCAAACATTGAAAGGGTAGAAATATATTATCGAAAAGAAACGGGAAGAAATAATTGTGTGAGTTTGACAAATCGAGAAACAAGTTGATATCTGATTACATTAGCAGTAAGTTTTACTATTGTAATTCTATTGCTTTACTTATTTCCTATGCAAACTATACATTAACCAAAACACTGAATGACATCCATGGAGGACAGAGAGTGAGAGAGATAGAGAAAAAGAAATAAGGATAGAATGTGCACCACCATAATTTGGTAATAGTAAACACAAAAGTTTCCTAAGTCATCACTAATAAGTGAATGGCTATTTGCTAATTGGTTCCAGAATTTATTTTCTCTTCGGGGGGAAAGGAAAGAACTGTTTAACAAGAAAAGCAATTTACAATTCACTAAAGTTGCAGGGCAGACAATCAATGCTAGTGGTTAGATGCATTTGATAGACTATAGATGAGATTCAGTTGAGAATAATCTCAGATAGAAAACAAACACCCAACATGCCTTTAAGATAATTTTATCTTAGTGTTGAAGACATTATGGCAAGGTTTTTTTCAGTTGCTGGGAAGTAACTCTTACTTGCAATGCCTCGTATGATAATGATGAGTACCTATATATTTATCAAAAGATTGTTTTGCTAACAAGATCAGCTACTTGAGAGCCATTCATCACATCCCAAAATTAGTAGATGTATGAGTACTACAAATGCATCAATACAAGAGGTTCAAAAGGTTGCTGAGAGAGAACTGCACTTACTGAGAACAGTCATTGTAGCACTTTTCTGCTTGTTTCAAGTCATGAGCATAAAGATACACAATAATTGCACTAAGGTACGCCTGAAATTAAAAAAAATTATACATTAGAGTTTATATACTGTTATCATAAAAGCTTCCCTTCAATGAAAAAAATTGGTGCAAAAAAAGTAAAAAGAACAGTAGCCACATCTGCACCAGACGCAAGAAAGTGAGATTTATTAAACCGCATGGTCCCCCAAATCTATAATGCCTCATTGGATTAAATTTTTATCACACATATACAAGGGTATAGTTTGTTAGAGGTAGCACTGAAACAAAAAAAAAAATCCAAGTAGAACTGTGCACTACACACCACTTAATTGAAGTAGGAACCACTATATTAGGTTATTATTTTGCTCCAGGATGTAAGTTTCAAAAGTACTTAAAATCTGATTAAGATGTCAGTTTCTTGTGAAACAACTCTCAGTTTATACAGAAAAATAGGTATTATGCCAAATCCTCAAGGATCAACAAAAAATAATTGGGAAATTTGATTTAGAAAGAGTTTTCTTAATCTGCATACGAAGTCAAACATAGACATTCAATAGACAAAGACAGACAGAGAGTATTGTAAACGGTCTTAGTATACAGCATTAAAAAATTTTATTTAATTCTGAATTTATATAAGACATTGGCCCCCAAAACTAAAAATCCTGCTTTCATCCTTGCTAAGAAGTTAACAAAAACATAAAATAATTCTTTTATCTCCTACTAGCAACATTAATGAAGAGAGAAAGAGTTGGGCTCATGAAATATTCTGAATAAAGAACCAAAAAGATGTGTAATTGAACTAAACTGTCAGTTAATGAAGTCATAAAGCATTTTAACACCGCAGACTCCTAAAGGCATGCAGGGATGTAGAGAGAAGTCAGCGATATTAGGAGCATCAGCGAAATGCAAAACAAGGGGAAAGGAATGGGAAATGAATGGATATCTAGTAATACTGGGAAATAGTTTGGGTGCAAAATATGAAGTCAAACCTTAAACTGACTATTTTTAGCATTGCACTTGTCAGCTGCTAGGTCCAATCTCAAAAGGAAAGTTGCAGCATCTGTGTACCTGAGGATAATAAAACCATAAACTATGCCTATTCATATAAGGTTTGCATACACATATAAACAAGGTAATTGCCTATGACAGATCCTTCAATTAAACAAAGGCCAAAAATTGGCTTGAAAGCTAATAACATCACAATTCACAAGCTTCAGTCTAATCAACCTGAACTCCCTAGTTCCAGGCATGAGAACAAAGCAGCAGAAATGAATTTAAAAATCCTTTAGCAATAAAGATATGTAAATTTAACTATGAATTAATGATTACATGCTCGCAAAAACAAATTCTATGGTCCATTTTTTGTTCTTTTTCATCTTTTATTCTAAGTAACAGCACTATTATAATTTTACGAATATATCAGAGCATATGATGTACAAAGGTGTCACTTTCATTTGCTCAATTGTATAAATAAGGATTTAATATAAGTATTATATTGTATCTCAAACTATTAAGAAGAAGCAAACCCATACTTTTCAAGTCTTACGTAAATACTAGTGGCAGCACGATATAGATCAAAGGCCATTTGTTCCTTTCCATCGTCTTCGAGAATAGCACAAGCATCAGTGTATAGTTGAATGGCATCGTCAGGCAAAGCATCCTCCAAAGAACTACAAAAGAACAAATACTAAAAGAATTAAAAAAGAAATTGTGGTTGTGATACAGTTTGTGATATGGCAGGTAAGATATATTGATGCATGAGAAACAAAGACAGAATTAGAAAAAAAAAAAAAAAGGTTCTTCAAGTGATAATTGATTACACCAATTAATTTACAACTATTAAGCAGAAAGGCACCATGAAATAAATACACATATAACACAAACAAAAACAACTCACATCCTTGCATGAATATTCATTTGAATGCATATTCGCATAGGTGATTTATCTTCTTCTAGTTACCAATAATAGTTACATATTCATGTATCTCCATTCCCTCTCTGCATCTTAACAATAAAGAGCAGGTTTTATAAACTTGAAAGAAGAGAAAAACTAGGAGTGAAGCACAATTCTTTGCTGGAATCTGTGAATTCTAAAATTTAGAAAATTCCACATCCACGATGTTTGGGCTATGCTTCTTCAGAAGCAAGGCTTTTAGAGACAATTAAAAGATTGAGTACTGCAATTTATTTAAATTCGTTGATTTTTAATTTAGAGACCCAAATGAGATTCTAATGTTTCCTCACTGTTTTCTCTTCCTCCAACTCTTCTTGTTTCTACTGCTTCATCCTCCTCTTCACCATCCAATTCTTAGATTTTGTGCCTTTTAATGGCGAGTCTC